GGCAGGTCACTGGCTTGATTGGTACCATATAAAATGTAAGCAATCCTGAAAACCTACTCGCTATCTTCACACTGTCAATGGTAAACCCTCTGGTTCCAGATGTGCTGACAAGTCTAAAAGGTGTATCACTTACTCCAAAAAAATCTGGCAGCAGCAGAGCTTGACTATCGACTGGCTTCAGAAGGGGCTCATGCAGATGAAACCAGCACAGGGGAAGGCACCTGAGGTTCACCTACAGCCACAGACACAGCACTGACAGATGAGAGAAAAGGCACAAGGATGGTTTGTTCTTGTGCTTTTCAGCCCAGCGTATGAAGAGCTTGTGGTTTTTTAGTCCTACTTTCTTTAAGTAATGAGGTACATCCCCAATTCCTGACCATTCAAAAGCAAATGCAAAGTGAATAATATGGGCAGGTGTTTCTTCAAAACACATTTCCACTTTAAGGGAACTACCTTAATTTGCTGAATTAGGACCTGGCCCTAACAGGTCTCCAGAGAACAGAACTGTGGTGTAGATAAGAAGGCAGATCAGACCTGCAGGGAGAGGGAGCCAGAGTACTGCAGGAGGTATTTTGAGCATACAAGGCTTAAAATCAGCTCCAAAACCTCTGGTTAAACTTAATTGTGTAGTCCTTATAGTGCTCCAGCACTATGGGAACACAGTGGCACAGGAATGTTCTTAGGCCCCTGCACACGTTAGTAGGATGTAGCTGAAGGTAAGCGGACACCAAAGTAGGCATGGACACCAATACCTATTTCAATCACTATGATGCCGGCTTTTGGCTCCAGCTTCCAGCCTGTGTCAAATCACATGATTTAAATAGCATGCAAGTTGTGTTACAGGGCAACTGAGCAGAAATGAAGCCATCTGGCCCATTTGGCCCTATCCTGACAGTGCTGTGTCAGGATATTAAAGCTCCACCCACAATAGCAGCTACTGAGATACAAAAAAAAGATTGATCCTTCCAATGTAGTAGAGCGCAATGCTTACAAAGGAGCATATTTTTCAAGTGGAAGCAGAGGGGCAGGTATCAGTCTCTTCACCCTCATCAGCGACAGAAGTCAAGGAAATGGCATGAAGCTGAGTCAGGGGAGGTTTAAGTTGGATATCAGGAACAGGGGGTGATTGGGTACAGGAACAGGCTCCCAGAGTAGTGGTTACAGCACCAAGCCTGACAGAGTTCAAGCAGTGTTTGGACAATACTCCCGGGCACACAGTGTGATTCTTGGGGTGCCCTGCGCAGGGCCAGGAGTTCGACTCAATGACCCTGATGGGACCCTTCCAGCTCAGCATATTCTACGACTCAATGTAGTAAGCAGTGTTCTGTGAGAGGGGTGGCTCTTACAAATTGTTTCATCAGGTATTTTCTCACCCTTCAGAAGAGATTTACAAGCTGAACAATTACCTCTTAGCTCTTTTTCCCAGGGCTTAAGTTCTGGCTATTCCTGATTTTTACTACAACCTCAGAATTTATGGGCTCTCTATAAATCAGTATTCAAAAAGATAAGTCACGTTGAAGAAAAGCCCTTCCCAGAAAGGCAGAAAATCTCAGTATTCAATGTCGGTATAGAGAAGGAACTGAGGAAGAAAGGGAAAGCTATGCTGCTTTACACAGTAGACAACAGGCCAGTGCCAACAGCAGAGAAGCAATCGCCAGCTCACAATAGGTTTTAGGTATTAAAAAACTGGGAAACTGCTGTTGTGGAAACTGTGCTAGCAGTAAAACCCAAGGCAAAATGTTTCTGAGACTCAATAACACCTTTATACTGGCAAAAGTTTACTTTCCACTAGCCTGTCTTACAGGTCTTCTACAAGAGGTCTCATTTCTTCTTTGAAAGTCTGCCATGGGAATGTCTTGCAACTCAGCTCTCCCATGCAACAGTAAAACAAATCCAGAAAGAATAATTAAGACAAGAACTTATCCTGTATACTAGAAAAACTTCAGAAGGGGTAATGTAACTTCATATTATCAGATCTGCTGCTCTGAAATAATAAATGACAGCAAAACCTTAGAGTGCACTGTAAGCTGCTCAAGAACCACTGTATTTGTCAGAATGCAATTACTTAGAATAAAACATAACAGCTTCTAAAAGCAGTATGTAATCATTTTGTATGCCTTATAGGTACAGACAAACACACATATTGGTGACATGGGTTGATTTACTCAATTATTGCAAAATACAATACTTTGCAATCAATACAGAGCAACTCTATTCAAAAACTATTAAATATGTGGCAACATCTGTGTCCTCTTGTGATAACAAAGTAAAAAATATTAAAGTTTTAACAGCTGGAACATGAAATGATGATCTTCACAGAAGAGTAACAAAAGAATTGGTTGAAATCACACTCCAAATATTTAATTAAATGCGGTGTATGATCCATGCAGCAACTTTAATACTAGAATTCAGTACTCAAGGCTAGCTCTAGTTCGTTGTACACCTGCATTTTAAAACTTTCCATTTTTATTTAATCCACTGCTTAAAACTTTTTGCCACTACCCTCTGCTTACACCACCCTGCCTTGTATTAGCCTCCCTTCAATGACTGCCACCACTGATGGTCAGCCTCTGGAGAGCCAATTTTGATCTCTCCATAGCAGCAGGGGAGATCACAGGAGGACAGGGAAAGGAAACAACATCAGAAGCAGGAAAGTAAGAATGAGTGGCTGTGACAGAACAAGTAGTTGAAAACGGGACAGCACATCCATGACTGTTACCAAATACTGTTCAAGCAGCAGAACTCAAACATGGATGTTTGTTGTTAAACAGCTCAGTGATTTGTCATTATAGGTGTTACACACATACACAATTCAGCAATAGCACAGTAACTGATAAAATTGAGATCACTAATTTTACAGCAGTGATCAAAAGCACCTTTCTAACGCCTTCCAGTGTAAATCTCATATCCAAAACGATGGGCTGAAAATACAGTTGTCAGTCAGTGGAGGACTTGTGAGAATTCCAGCCAGAACTATGATAGAGGAGACAAAGTACCATTTTCCAAGCAGTACTTGAATAGTTTACTTAGGTTTCCCCTCTCCCTAGCCATCCCTCTTTTAAAGTAAAAATCAAACAAAACAACAAACCCCCAAACAAACAAATTCCAAAAAAAAACCCAAACCAAAACAAAACCAAAAAACTCCAACAACCACCCAACCAAAAAAACCCAATCAAACACAAAAAAATTAAAGTAAAAAGACTTAATTGGAAATATCTTTAAAGGTGTTGTCAAACAACATTTCTTCAAGGCCAAGCTGTTATAACAGTATACAGAAGTCAGCTTCTAACAAGATGACACTTCATATTAGCCTTTCCGATATTTTTAAGGTGCAGTTCAGCAGTGTGAGCACCAGGTCTGCGTTTACAAAATATATGTTTGTCCTCACAGGCAAGTAAATATGGTACTTCAGCATGTGCTTACACATGTAAGCTCTGCATACATAGTTCTTGTGTATACACCTTGCAAGTACAAGACAGGCTCTCACCTTCGAAAACCACAGTACTTGAAATATCTACACCATTAGACTTCAAATCTCTTGCTTTGGTATTGAATCAATAGAAAATTTACAATGCCATTTTTCAGTCTTACACAGACTGAGTTATTAGCCAAGGAAATAAAAAAGTAGTAAGTCTCAGTATCCAAAGAAATCTACAAATACATTCATCGATATGTAGTACATTACGAACAGGAAGGCAATATGTGGAACTGCTATAGCATGAATGAAAACCAAGTAGTCGTAGGAGAGCCTCAAAATCTTCCTTACATTTTTCTCATGTAGCAGTTAATGTCACTGTAGCAATGACAATATTGCACCTTCTACTGTGTTACTTTCCAAGTTGTACACTTATTTTTGATTGAAGAGAAGGGTGGAAAATGAAAGGCCTCTGAGGAGTTCAGCAGCAACACTTTAGTGCATTGAAAACATGGATAATCTATGGCACGTAGGAATTGATGGATTACACAGGATGCTTTTCTCTATTTACAGTATCATACACTTGTATAAACTCTCTGCTGCATCTTTTTTTTAGTACTTAGCCTGTGGCAAATCACAGTAATATTATTCAAAGAAAAAGGAAATCCCATTTTCACATAAAGACTAAGTAATTAATGGGTATTACTTATCCTTGCTTAAGCTATCTACTCCTCTAAACACCTTGAATTCCGAAATTTAATTGGCACAAAAACATTTGTATAACTTAATACAGGAACTGATTGCTCATGATTGTTTACCTCTTGACTTAATAATTACATTCACTGCTGGAGATTTATACACTGCCAAGTGTCAGAATTAACACATTAAAAAAAAAAAAAGGCAACAAAACAACACTCAGACAAAAAGTAAACCTGACACAACCCTCAGAAAAAAAGCCTCCGAAATTGCAAGAAAGAACAATTTTCTGCTGGGTGTCTGATGCATGATAGGAAACACCAAAGCAATGGGGTATTATATCACATTAACATCATGCTGCCTCTCAGGCACCAAAGACTACAGCAAATAATTATGGAGATAGTAAGCAACTTGGCTTCAGCGAAAAACTGCCTTATCACCAAGCTCAGTGGGGCATCTGAGCCTTCAAAGCAGTTTCTGATACCAGTCTGAAAACAATGGGATTTCTGGTTCCAGCTGAGATGGAGGCAAAAGAAGGGAGTGGGAAAGACCATTGTATACAATGTGGCACAGCTGAGAAAATGACATATTTACACTTGAAAATGCAAAACATGCTGCACGTAAAGGAGGAAAACCAATGAAATAACAGGACATCTGTCTCTGAGGACAGGAGGCATGTCCCTCTACTATGGAGCAGGTTTTTATATTTGTATTTTAAAAACTCAGAAGAAACTGAAAATGTATCAATCACACAGAAGGACAGTACAGAACAAAAGAACCTGAAGATCAATTTCACATGCTTTACAAGAAACCTGGACATGAAATCTTTACTAACTGTTGTATAGAACAAATAACTGCTTTTACTAACTGTTGTATAGAGAAGTTTTGTTGTGAGACTCAGAGAGAAGGGCAGAGTTGCTTTTAGTCAAAGGATTCCATACTCTTGTAGAAAACAACAAAAACAGTAAACCAAAACAAACAAACAAAAATCTAACCAGCTATACCGACTATCAGTTTACTAACCTTTGTGTTTAAGTCCTCAACTAGGATACTAAAAATGCACTTGCAACTTCTGAACACAAAACAGGGTGCACCTACTATGACAAAAGTACATTTTTTTTCCAGCACACCCTTCATGAGCTTTTAGTGCCATATGCTGAAGAAACAAGATTTACATCAGTGAATGGCAAGTGTCAGCAGGTAGTTATCTGCACTACACCGGTGGCTCCATCTTCATCATCCTGTTCTTCAACATCCCCTGTTTTAAACTTTTTAATTGAAAAATCCACCTTCCATTTGGCAATTCAGAGCTGGGTCTGATCTTCATGACCTCTGGTCACACTGTAGGATGTCTTTAGAGACCATTCTTATTTCTTGCCAATTCCATTTGATACTTTTGATTTGGAGTGCCGATTCCTCCTTCTAGATGAGTGGCTTTCACTATTGACTGAATGTTTTGGTGGACTACTGTCAGCACCTGCTGAGAAAGAAATACTTTTTTATTATATATATAGTTGACATTGTCAAGCTCTTCTCTGAAAGACAGTAACGCTTTTGAGAGCTACAGTTTTTACAGTATGGATTATTTCAGGCTAATACAAACTGTTGATACTTGTACTCCATCTAGTGGCCTATATTTTTTAAAAAGCAATACTTAAGACTTCTGTAAAATTCTTCCTCCACCAAAAAAAAAAAGAATCAGAAGTTTGCTATAGCAGAATACAGTGGTGAAACATTTTCCATTTAAAAATCACATCAATAATTAAACTTCCACATTTTTCGTAGTGGTGGGTACTACTATTAGAAATTAAGAACTACGTAAACACTGTCACAGGTCCTTGCAAGACTACATTTCAGGTTTTCATATGACAGGCCATGTTTGACACTGAGAAAACAGAGACAGAGGGGACCAAAAGAAGAAATCAAAGACAAAATGTGAAAGAGGCTGAAGTTTGTAATTCATGAAGTAACAGGAGGTTAGAGAAAGACTTGCTTGGCCAGATTTCTCCAGCACACATACACAGGAAGAACATTTTGAGTGCAAGTAATTTTTCTCAAAAATATAAAAGTCTACAAATCTACTAAACTGAGAATAAACATCCAGAAAAATCGTGTATGAAATATAAAGAAGCTCTGCTATAGGTGCTTTGCAAGCATGTGATAAATAAGAAATATTTTTAATGATACAAACATGTGGTGCATAAACTCTGACAGAGATAACTTCCAGGTTTGAATAAGCAAGACCACACTAAAGAGCCAGCAGAGGAGGCAGATAACTGACCTCTCTAGTGCAGGGAAAAGAAGTCGAAAGAAGGCTGCCTTTGCTTAGTACAGAGAAAGCTGTTTATGACCATCAGCACTGCACTGACTAGGCAAGTGTCAGTACGAACACAAGCTCCTGGGCACATTCTTGACTGTTTCTTAACATGCAGAAATTAAAGCACAATTCACATTAATATATTTCAAATCAAACACAAAATGTTCAGAGAGAAAACTTGTCCAAAACAGTTATGAAATGCATAATGCCCAAAACCTACAAGAATTACCTGGAGCAACAGCAGAAAAATTCAGTCAATTCATTAAAAAATAAATACTTTTCCAAGAGTTAGAATAAAAAAGACAGTAGAGCAAAATAGCTTTCCAGATGATTTATCCACATAGCTCCTGCAGGGACATTAAAATAAGTCCAGTTGTTTTCTAGGTAACTTTCTCAAGCCTCATTTTCTAGCGTTGAGCCTTAATGTTACCATTTCAAGAGTATAGCTACAAAAGTGCCAATACCTGTGGTGAATTTAGAATGAAGCCAGGAAGCATCTGGACTGTATGGACTGTCTTCACTTTCTGACAAGGTCTGCAAAAACAAGGACACATGTCATTGGGATGCTGGTGGTTCTTGTGATCAGTACTGGACTTGTAAACTTAAACTGTGGCAGAAGTCCTCATAAAGCATTCATACAGTACTTCAGACTTTTCCCTTCCTATTTAGAAGGTACAACATAGATGATACAATAAGAACTCACCACTTGCCATGTGATCTGTTGTGTAACCACATATTCTTAATATTCCCCTAGCATTCCACCTGTACAATGGGAACATTAACTAACCATTCATCCTTGAGCGCTTTGCTAAAATTACAGCCTCATTTTAAGCAACTAAGAGGACAGCATTCTTTAGAAACCACAGTGTAATTTGGGATCTGTCCAAGGCCTGCTGAATTCAGAGCTCTTTCTATTGACTTCAGTTAGACTCTGGACCATCCCCCCCTCATCCCCATTTATAGTAGCTCTGGTAAAGAATTCTAATATTTAGGAGCTTTGCAGTTTTAACTGTTATAAAACAAAACCAGGCTTCTTTAATTTAAGTACCTTTTCTCGGTGGCCGTAGTACTCTGCGTACCAAACCATACCATACAGACAAAGGAAAGTTGTAAAGGCCTAAACAAGGGAGGAGAAGAAGAAAAAAAAAAAATCTGTAAAACTTTTTCAAAATTCCTTGCTGGTTCAAGGTCTCAGAGTCCCTGGAGGTTTCACATTCAGATTTTCATGCTCTGTTTCTCCCTGTATCTTTTGTCAGATGAGTAAGACTCGTGCTTCAACTTCAAGGTACCCATGGATTCTGCCACCATGGGGTATGCAGACCAATTCTCAACAGGAGCATGAAAATACATACAGATCACTCACAGTGCCAGCATGATTTCTGTCCACACCCTGACCAAAGCACTCAATAGGCACTTGTACTTATATTATCAAGAACAACCAGTCTAGGAGAAAAATGAGTTCACCTTCTCCCTGCCCCATACTTCAGGCTAGGTTACATGTTTGCTTTTGTGGTGCTCTGATCCGGGAAACAATGCAATACTTTTCTCTTCTGAAGCTTCAGGAATAAAATTAACATGCTAAATAAGAGAACAATAAATTCTGACTCCCCATCACCTGTTTAAACTGTGTTCCCAACAAGAAGGGAGAAGTATTTATCTGTCAGCCCATTATAAATGCCTTATTCTTCACTGACCATAAAAAATGCGTTTGGCATCAGAGTTACAAGTCTGGCAAGACAAACATCCATTTACTGTTATAAAATGGGTATTTCATGCTGCATTTGCAGTAATCACACTGAAGAACAGAAAGTTACAGGCTGAGTGCGAATGATTTGCCTAATAGAGCAGGGTTGTTTATGCACTTGTAAGACTTCAGTGTGACACAACACACATTACTTAATAGCACTATCCATTAACTCCTGTTTGCTTCCAGCAGGCACTACAGCAAGCATCACCAAAGTTAGGCTCAGTTGAACTGACACCTTCCCTCATTAGGATAAAGCATCCTAAAACTAGAGTTTGTTTCATTGTCAAGCACTGGTAAAGTTGCTATACTCTGCTATTTCAAGAAATAAGAAAATAAGTTATTCTAGTCCCTTAAAAGTGAGCTCTAAGCAATACAGCATTTGCTTTTCCTAGGATGTGTACAGAGCTCTTTACCAGCATTTCCCCACAATTATCCCCTGCTGCCAATGTTCCAGAGGAAGCTATTTAGATGCTTTCAGTGCTTTTCTCATGCTTTATGTTTCACATGAGGAATCTCACTTACCACACAGAGAAGCCAAAACACAACATACAGTATTTGTGTTTTGGAAAAAAGATCTTGTCCAAACTTTATGCACACAATAGCTTCAAGGAAAGCAATAGCCCTGTGGATAAATGAAACACGGGGGAGAGTGGTTACAAACGCTAAGGATTTAACTCATGTGATCACAACCCAGATCCCAGACTGTCAGCGCTAAACGAGCACTACCCTCTAGTGAGCACACACCTCCCTGACACCACCATTAACTGAAATTCTTTGAGAAATTTCCTTTTTCCTTCTATACTTTTTTCAGCATAAACAGCACACTCAGAGTGGAAGTTTACTGTTCTGTGGGGCTCCAGGGAACAAGCAGGAGCGTGTGCCAATAGCAGAGAATTTTTGTTTGTACCTATCACCACTGTGCTTCAGCTCTCACCAGATATAAACTTCTTTTCCATGCTGAACATCCAACAGACTTCCTTGTTGGATCAACTAGAATATGCTTTGTGTATGTCTCTACTGGATGTAAATTTACTAGAATTCTAAATTGTATACTTTGCTTACCTCACATGGATTTTGATGAGAAAACTCATAAGAAACAGCATTTCAAATTCTTTGGTAATTCATGCATTTGCTATGGTTTATCCGTAAACTCAGGTCCACTGAGCATCAGAGGATTTGGGGAGAAATGTAAGAGCAAAAAGTTCAGTTTTTACTTTCCTCTCTGACAGTGAAAGAATAAAAAAAGTATCTCCATCTCTCTCCCTGCCAGCACTCCTTTTCAGGTTCAAAGCTACAGAGGCTTGTCCACCACTTGGTGTGGAACACAGAGTTATGAAATCAAAGCTTCCATCACCTGCCATGGAAATAAATTTAGCTTGTATAGATCCTGAATACAAAATCAGATACGTTTAACAAATACGAGAGTAGAAATGTGACTGGTGCAGCAAAAGTGTAGAAAAATTACTTGTCTCAATCTGAAGCAAATGATGAAAAACACTATTAAATTCATAGAAGTTTAACACTTAACTTGTTCAATAGAGACGTTAAGGTTGTACATACATGTGCAGACACACTTAACATCATGTGAAGTGTTCCAGTCTCCTAGGCTTGATACTGCAGGACATATTTCCTACCAGCACTCTCCAAGCTCAGGGAGTTCCCAAAAATGGCACTACTACCTGTCAGAGACGACCCAGTTTCCTCCCACGAAAGGAGGAGGAAAGACATGTGCTTGACTAAACCCTTAGTACTGCAGAGATGGTCCTGGTGCACCATGAGAGCTTTCTCTGTACCATCTAATGTGACCTGCAGCATGATGAGTGGGGTCAAAACTTACAACTGTGGAAGTAACACCCAACTGATTAATACTAAAAATTAATGAGGTGCACATTAGTAAAAGATTGAGAGCAGTGTTACTCTGTTGGGTCATCGACTATTTTTCTTTCTTGGTTTTACATTATTCTTACTGATTCAGCTGCAGAGTAAAAAACAAATCATTAAACCGTACTACAGCAGTGGGAACAGAAAGACCACCATCAGAAAAACGGTGTGGAACAAAGGAAACAAATATGGGGATGCAATATACTCAAAGGTATAAACAAAACAATAGAGAACTTTGAATAACAACTCAAAAAATGATGCAGCTGTTTGTCTGGCATTTATACATTCTTGCTGTTATTCCTGTCAAGAATACTTGAGTTAAGCACACAGTACAATAGGACAGCAATTACAGTTTATGAAGTGGTAAATCAAAAGACAGAAGAATGCTGTGAAAGGTGAAAAGTGTTAATATTCTACTGAAAGGTGATGAGAATACTTGTTAGAACTAAAGACAGTAAGTTTTTATTCAATCAAAATGGTCTTGTAAGATCCTAATAGATATTCCTTTTTGGAAGGCTTCATCTCAATAAAAATGGTTTTCGACTGAATGAAAATTCCAGCGGGGCTGTTGCATTGGCCTTCTTCATGCCTTACATTATTTATCAAGAGTGATGCTTTAGTATATGTCAAGTTGAAACGAAACAGCTTTGTACTAATAAAAGGCACTAATTTTAATTATTTCCATGGTTAGGCTGTTAAGAATTCAATTTGTGCCTTTAGAAGTGTGCCTTGGTCACCACATATACGAATATTCCATATACTTGCTTTTAATTGCTTCAAAATTATATTCTAGATTATTAAATTAATTGAAAATTTCTGCTTTTTCAGCAAACAACAGGAACTCAGCGTAGCTCTGTTTTTTTAATCAGATTACAGAAGCAAGCAGTATTAAGGAGAATACTTATTCCATACACATTTCCCACTAGTAGATCAGACTGTGGGTGAATATTCTATTGTGGTTCTTGTGCGATCGTATAGACATGTTTGGGCACCTACGTATTGACACATACGACATTAATGTGTTCAGTGAGAACTCTGAACCGAGGATGATGGTTTCTGTAATCCTTAACAACTTTTCAGAGTCAGAAGGCAAACATTCAGCATTATATCTCACTTCAGTTTACAAAAGAATATATTTACATTATTTCCTTTGCATGAAATAGAAGTTCCTTTTTTTTTGATGCAGAACTTGCAAATTCTTCCCTCAAAATGATAAAATTGTTTAAAATGTGTCTTCTGTAAGACTCTACAGTTACTATATATAGCTGAGAAAATGTCCTTTCCCACATAAACATCTCAATTTCTAAATAATTTAAATACATATTTCAGTGCCGTCTATATTCAAATGCATATCTGTAAAATATTAATAAAATGATATTAATAAAATGATCAGTAACTGCTGAGATACTCATACACCAATAGAGAATTTCTAATGGCATACTAGGTAGTCATATTAATTGTGTGATTAATTAGCTATCTTTAGTACTAAAGCCAAATAAGAGCAGAATTTCCTTTTCTATGTCCACTGGATGTTATGGCCATGAGTTGAAGACAGTAACAGATCCATCCAGGAATCAGAGAATCACAGAATCATCCAGGTTGGAAGAGACCTTTAATATCATCCAGTCCAACCATCAATGAAGAAGGAAGGTGATAACTCAGTGGAAAAGGTGAATATTTAAGGCCAGACAAGCCCAAGGAGACATGTTATGGTCTCCAGGGTACATTTAAAAAAAGACTAGAAATTCCTTCCATTACACTGCAGCAAGTTCTGCTCTGAACTCAACTAAATGTTGAGAAAGGGGCACTCTTTAGACTGCTGTAGAGCATGTGGAAACATGCCTTCCAGCCCAACACAGTCTTAGGGATGTTAGTTTTAGGGACAAACAGTAAAAGTGAGATAAGTTTTCCAAAGCACTGTTTCTAAATTAGATATGAGTATTTTATGAATCACTGAAATGCCATTACTCTTCTATAAAACATGAAAATCATTCAGATAACTCTGGAAATAAGATATACACTAATCTTGACAAAGAGAATGAAATGGCTATTTTAAATTAAAATCATTACCATCAGAAATTAGCTTCTTGAATAGTTTCTTAATTTTTCTTTTTTCTTTAAGACATGATTTAGGATCTTTCCAAGTCCTAAATCAAAAGGGACACTACTGCATTGCTTGTTCACTGGAAGCTTTTACAATGCTACAATAGCATTGTAAAAAATGTGCTTCAGGTTTGCAGAACACCATGGCTTAGTCAAGCCATCTAGAGAAGGAAGTTCTCCCCAGAAGCAATCACACAAGCTCTTCATTTAAAGGTCTGCTCCAAGAGACAAAGAGATTGTAGCCAAGGTAACCATTGCTCATAGCACCATTCCACAGAAATAGTTGATCACTGCGGTTTGTTTCACTGTCTTCTGCAGTTAGTGCCCACTGTGACAGCCAGGGAAACATTACTTGTACAACCAGCTGTAGAGGCAAAAGCTCTATCCTTCTCACCTGATTGAGAATATGGGTAGCAAGGCCAATGCTACTCTGAAGGAGCCCCTACCTTTATCCAGTCTTCGTTCCGTTCTTCTCCTTACTCATTCCATCACTTCCCATGTTCTACCTCCAAATTGATAATTTTCCTCTCCTCTGAACTTGCAAAATCAAAACCAACACAAGACAAGGACTGGCTTCATGGAAAGCCTGTTCTTGGGCTGGACCCATACTTAGCACTTATCCGAGTGCTCCAAGAGTGCAGCAAGAACACTTACCCGAACACCCAGCACTGAGTTCCCACCCTCTTGCACTGTGTATCTGTGAGGTACGCATAGTATTGCCTGAGAAGGGAAGCGAGAGAATTCTTCAGTGAAGTCAAAAGACTGCAGAGTCATTACATTTAGAAAACAACTTTATGTTACAGATGTATCTATACTGAAAATGAAGTGCTGATGGTTAAATTCACATGCAATCATTTTGGATGTCTACCAGATGGCTTCAATTCCAGTGGGACAGATTATCACACAGATCAAATAGCTTGAAACAACACAGAAAATAACCCTGAGTCTGAGGACTGGGAAAGTCCCCAAACTAGTAGGCTAACAAAACAACAAATCTGTCTCCTGCTTCTCCACTGAATCTCCAATTCTTATGGGCAAAGTGCAACAGCTTTGAAAGAATTAGAGAATCCCCCACTTTTTCCACAGTTTGTCTTCATTAACAATTGCATTTTCTTGAAAGATGTGGGTTTGAGTCTTGAAAGAAACTGAATATGGCTATTCTATATCTTGTTTGAGTGGTCTAACCACCAGCATATTTTCCTCTCAAAACAAGTAGAATTTCTCACCATTTCGAAAACAATCTGGGGACCATTCTGCCCTATTCTTTACGATCTGGAATTTTAAGAATTTCTAGAGCAGAAATACAAAGAAGCAGAATCAAAGTTTCCTTTCCTAGCCTCTGATTTCCACTGACAGATGAGGAAGACAAGTTTTATTATTCCAACAGTACAAGGATTGGTAAAGAAAAAAGACTTCCACAGGCGTGCAAGTGCCATAAAAAACCCCTTAAAAGTGCACCTATGCAAGAGCTTACAGGAGGTTTAATGTGATTCTCTACCTCTAACTTCAGATTTGTGTGCATTCTGTCTACTGCCAACTATAGCATGGGAAAAGAAACTAAAATTAAGGTACTCTGATAATAAATAACATGAAATCACATGCATGCCTAAAAGCAGATTAATGTTTCTATACAGCTGTTAATGCTGCATATATACTGTTCTGTTCTCGCAATATGCTCCTGCTTTTTTTTTTGTAACACACTAATATTTCCTGTAGACAGACATAGTAAGGAGCTGTTAGAAAAACAAATAGCTCTATTTTTCCTTCTCTACACTTTTGTGAGCACCTGACTCATTAACCTGGATACTTTCACACGCAGTCCTCAAGGATAACATACACAGTTAACTCACAAAACAGGGAGATGTTATGAAATAGATGGAACAGATTAGTTCTGTACCCCTATGGCAACACAGTTGTTTATATACATTTTACCTCAGTTTACTTGTCAGAAAACACATTTTATTGAAAAATTATGATTGTTTTGTTTTTCATGGTGGCAAAAGTATAAATTTCTTGAAATGTGCCATACTTATTCACAAACTATATGCAATTCTTGGATGCCTAGAAGTCAAACTGCTTTAAACTGAAGAAATAAACAATCAAAAAAATTACCTTACAGTGGGTGCTGTAATGATTCCTATGAAGAGAATTCTACCCCAGCTTAAAGGGTGGCTTGCTTGGAACACAAAGATATGTTTCAAAAAGAATGTGTTCAACTCAGTCAGCTAGGGAAAAAAAAAAAAGGTTGTTAATAGTATTCAACTTACATAACTCCTAACAGAAAACGTGCAAAGATAATAATATGGAAACTAAAACGTGGAAGGAAAGCTATTTATGCTCTACTATAACCCTGCTGGTTAGGTTGAACATTTAAAGAGTCTAGGACTCCTGCCCTAGGACAAGCAAGGAATATACAAGTAAAAAACAGAATTCTCCCCTAGACTCCACTATGAAAGTATTTGTTATCTTTCCAGAAACGCATTAAGGGACCAGACACTCATTCACACTACATAGGTCTTCTGAAAACTTTCATATCCTAAATCAGGTATGAATGACCAAGGCAATTTTGGGAGAGAAACAGAAGAAATCATACATTAAAAAGAAAAAATTGAAAACTCCTTTTAGAAACTAAATTAGTAAAAAAAAAAAAATTAAAAAAAGTTTTAGTTTTATTTTCATGATGACGTACCAAAGCAGCTGGGACATGTAATAGAGTCAAGGCCAGTATTGTGAGCATCACTGATCCATTCAGCATTCAATGGGAAAGTAAAAAAAACCACAAACCCAAACAAAACAAACAACCAAATAATCCCCCAATCATCAACACAACAAAACCAAAATAGATTAAAAATCCACCATCTCAAGCCCCCACTGTCTAGCAGTTTTTAAAACTATCAATTGGAAAGAGCAATCTGATGGCCTGTACAGCAATCTGTAACATTTGGGTTCTTCCACAGGTTCTGTAATTACACTCATGAACTATCTTGTAACTCCTGTGACCAATATCCTGACCCACTGTGTACTATCAATTCATTTAATTGGGTATTTCAATGACAGACCTATCTTGCATTAGAATATCTTCTAGTCCAACACAGCCAACAAGTAACTGAGCTGATGGCAGCTTTGATGTCACAGAATTTATTTCTTACCTGCCAAATGATCATGAAAAGGTAGATTCCAGCCACTCTCTGAAATGATGACTTTGGGTCAAACCAGCGGACGTAGGTCCAGCTGGCAGGGGTGAACTGTAATACAGCTCTTTTGATTTTCCCTGTGGTTGTGTGAATGTCCCTAGAAAAAAAGAATGGCTGGAGTAAATACAAGGAATATGCAAGGAAAAAAAAAAAAGCAAGAGTCATGTTACTGATGTTGCGGAACAATTGCCCTTTTTTGATGGACAGCAGAGACCTTCACAGACACAACTATGTACAAGGGTGAATTAAGAAACTAAGCATTTCAGTCAGGGTGCTATTCTGCTATAAAAGCCCACCCTTCTCTATCCTCAGTCACTAACTAACTACATAACATATTAATCATTCTCTCCACAAGGGAAAGAAACAAAGACTGCAATTTTGCAACCTCCTTGGAAAATCTAGAGGATATTTCTTCCTAGTCTATGCTGCCACTACTCTTATCCCAAAGACTCCTTGTGTTAGAGGTCAGTGACATCAATCCTTCAAGAATCTGTCAGATTCATTATTCATTCATTGTATAAAGGAGTGGCTCCACATGTTTAAAAATACTACACTTCCAGTACATATAACCCCTGCTGTTCTGACATGAGATGCACGTGGACCTCCTGGAGAGGTGCGATAGCACAGTTAAAACCTAGACAGCTATTAAATTCCAAATTGAAAGGGGATTTTAATGGAGGCTCATCTGACATATGTATTACTGGTTGGTTTTTGCTTTTGATAACATTGATTGAGATGAGCAACAGCATCCAAAGGACAGGGAATCTAAGAAAAACTCAGTTTCTTTTTCTGAAGGAAGACTAGTAGGGCTAGAAGTCAGTTTTCACCTGTAATTTCTCTGGCCCTTCTAAACAAAAAAAGAGACTCAGATTTTATATTTCTGATATTTGTGTTCTTTTAGGCTAGAGAGACTTTAGGTGAGAGAGTACCTTCTAAACTTTAAGATCTATGTTTATTCAATGAAAAAAAGAGAAAAAGAAATTAAAAGGGCCCAAGCAAAAGCTTCTCATTTTATGCAGCACTTCAATATTAAAGACGAAAAAATCTACTCATGCATTTAAAAGAATGTGAGGAAAAATCATTCCACAAAGACAGTGAAGACTAGTTGTGCCATAGATGTTCTGCTGTTTAAACTTTCAGTGAACAGAAGGACCATTAACTCTGATGGAAATGAAGGAAAACTGAACTGAGACTTAAGGCTTAGAGCAATTAACAAATTGGTAAGAAAAGAAGTCGGTACAGAAATTCACATAGCGTACAAATCTGGAAGTCAAGATTTGAACTCCTTTTCCATCTCTCAGGGCAATTCATTGTCCTTGATCCCGTTTCATTTATACCACTGGTAACGTGCAGATAATCATGCTTGCTACCAACTGGGAAGAAGGCTGGAGAGACGTTAAAAACTATGGAAAAAAACATGTGGACAGCAAGGAACTGACACTTACTAGGTCACAATCTGTTGCCCTTTTACGCAACAAATACCTCTTTATTTTGCAATTACTCCATTTATTTCAGAGGGTCAGCTATGGGGTAAGGCAATTCACAGAACAGGTACAATCAGTCTGATGCCTCTTCTGCAATTACAACTAGTGCTGACAGATTGCCACACTAACGCATCATCAAGGTGAGCCCAAATCTAGTTTAAAAAACGTATAATGAGAAAACAATTACAATTTGGTTTGCTCCCTGCCTTCCTCAAAGCACAAAATTAACTGAAAACACAAATAGCTTTATTACTTTATATTTTTCCACTGGCATCAATGCTTGTAACTTAAGATTGCAAAGGGAAATTATATATACAGTCGTATTTACAAATATATGCTGTACAGTAGCATTACGATGAGATTGATATTTAACATTTAAAATAAAATTACAGCCTTGTTAGCACAGGCAGATTGCATACTATTTCTATACCTCATGTACTTTACTTATGCAAAGAAGGTGATCTATTTCCCAAGGAAATAAATTTAACATTATAACATCAAACAAAATGTTTATCAAGCTTTAATTTAGACCTACTTGAAGCTTGCCCAGTGATAGGTCCTCATCTCCAAGAAACGACAAACCACCATGCCCAACCAGATGCCACCTCCGTTACAAAGCAGGATGTCCAAAATGACTTGATCCCACCAGCATTCAGCAAAATTAGGCAGAAGGTGCATGAAGAAGAGCTAAAGAATACAGCAAAGAGATTCTGGGTGAGGAACAGCACAGAATTCATATAAATTCACTTTTAAGTACACATTCAAAAATCAGCTTTTTGGTACACAGCATACTTCAATGATGTAAGCCACAACCACTGAAATTTGACAGACATCTTTCCATTAACTTCAGAAGGCCTTGGACAGAACCACACAAGACATCAGAGGTTTCCTTCTCACTGTTTCCTGTTGGAGCTATGCTGTATATGAAGATATCATGCAGCTCTTGGCCTCTCAAAGATGATACACAGAATGTTCATAGAAATGCATGAAACAAGCAGAACTACTGCATTTCTTGGAGGAAATAAGGTGGTTTGTGCTTTAAAAGTAAGTTGAAAAGAATCTTTGTTATACTTTTGCTAAATAGTTTCAAGAAGTATGTTTTCTAAACAAGCAACAGTGGTAAGTGGAATGGATGCACTTGTAAGAACAGCCAGTACTTAAGCATGTTGGTGTTCAGGACTAAATACTTGTTCTTTTTCAAAACCCTATCTTTCCTTTATTATTTTCATCTAAATTTAGTGACTCTGAAAGATTAAGAGTTCACCAACATTTCAGACTCTACAAGCTTTACTGCTACAATTGATCCAGAATGTGTCAAGAATTTAAAAGGACATTCCGCTCTGCCTTCCTGCTTGGTCTCTCGCAAGCACTAAAATGATGGAGGCACTTTTATGATGAAGATACTGGAAGACAGGCCAGAAAAACCCCAACATTAGACTGAAGAGCTGACACCACTTGGATATATCAAAACATATCCCATGCCTTCAAGAATTCCTCTGGAAAGCGCACAAATCATTTACCTCTGAAGCAATCTGTTCCTTTCAGAATACTCAACTGAAGATCCCTATGAGGCATTAGTAAGGCAATTAAATGTACTTAGAGATACATTTGGTGACTTTACATTAGTGATGGAGTGAGGAGAACAACAGTCCAGAGTTAAAACAAGATATAAACATAATTTACCAGGAGATAGAAATGGATTCAGTGCCTCTCCTTTAAGAGAAAATAATTGTACACTTTATTTTAAGAAAAGAATCACTGCAACCCAAAAAACAGATTAGAAAAGTTTAGCTACAGACTGGAAATCAAGACAGCCATGTGTTAAGCAGTCCCTTTGGAACACTCAAGGAGATACTTACAAAACACATAGCAAATTAAAGAATATTCTTACCTCCACAGAAACAGTAAACCTTTTGTCAGTTAGTGCACACAGACTGTTTCTGTGGAAGATTACTGATATGATTTTGTAATAAAGTATCTTTTATTAACAGATGTATAAATAAAATATTGAAAAAATCAGATGTGGGAAAAGGAACAAGAATGTTTTCTGTATACAGCAAGAACAAATACTGGTCTGTTTATAGCACATTACAGTGACTGATATTGGCAATGACAGTTCCTTAGAAAACTCTGGCAAATGTGTATCAAAACCACTCGTCTTACGTTGACAAGGCTATATGAATTTCAACCTGTAAAAAGGAAAAGCTGAATTTCTCTTTAGGACCCAAGCAATACAATGTTGTTCATTATCCTGCTAAAGGTTCCCTTTCATGTTTTTAACTAATTTAACCTAAAAGAGACAATAGGCTACAAATCTCAGTCTACAATGATGCAGCCAAAGACAGCAGAAATTACAGAATGAAAGGCAGCAAAGCCCAGAGCACGGGTGTTAGCCAGACCATCTCTAAGGTGCTAGCTGCTTTCTCAGAATGAGAGGCCAACCTGCCTGCATCCCAACTTTATTCCAACAGCATGGAGCATGAACCAAATTTCCCATTTCATAATGGGGAGTCAGCTGTAATGCATAAACGCTAACAGGAGATGCACAGCTAAATCCCTACGTAATTGCTCTGACAACTTCTGCAGGTTTCAAATTACTCTCCTGAATTGTCTAATTCATCAAAAATCCATTTGAGTAGTGATAACAAATCCGTATGTTGAACCTTATCCAACACATTGTCTGTTCCAATAATCTGCCTTTCAACAGCTGGAAGACACCCCACATGGTGTCAAACTGAAGATGATGGTTGTGTGATGATCAAATGAACAATAACAGTATCAGTGAGACAAATCCAAATGCATTATTTTCCAGAGGGAAAATATGAGTACAATAACTAGAAAAATTATTTTTTTGTGGATGGGTACTTGTGAAATCCAAATCTTAAGCAATTTCAAAATAACTTAGAAAACAGCATATCCTTCAATGCCACAGAAGAAAAACATGTTTTGAAGAGGAACTCATGGCAGCAGTATTTTGAAACCCAAGTTTAATTTTAGACAAAAAAATCCTTACCTATATTTCTGAATTATAAATGCTTTGTCAGATGAGCCAAGCATTATCAAGACAGCAAGCTTTACAGAAAACTGATTTTAAAGACTAAGTTCAGGTGTTAACTCTCAGCTGCATTTCACTTGTACATTATGCATGACTATACACAATGCATTATCCTGTTGTATGTGGGGTAAGGGGATCATGACAGTAGATCACAGATATTGCAAGGTGAAAAAGGAGAACAGTTGCTCTGAATCAGGAAACATCTGAAGTAGCAAAAATAGCACGATCAGCAGAAAAATAAATTACGAATGGCACCAGCAGGCTGGCCTAGATCTCCCTCCCATTCAAGCAATAATAAATCACTTACCTAAAACCCAGCTTGCTGTTGTCTACTAATTCAACTGCATCAATTACTCAGCATCTGGTTTATAAGGCTTAAAATGTAAACCTGTGCTGAGGATTAGGGTCATCCTTCTAGTAACATTCACACTTCCTGCAAGAACACTTCGTATCTCATGCATTTGCTTACATTTAAGATACAAGGGTGGCCTACCTCAGTGAGCTCCCAGGTGATGCTGATAGTCCAGCAGAGCCCATAGCTGCGGATCAGCAAAGCCTTCATAGCCCAGCCCCAGTAATGTCCAAAAGCAAATATATCAAAGTGGCTGAGGATTCTTTCCCAGGTGATAACATGACAGTTCACTGCATACTCCTGTCGTGAAAAAATAAAAAACCAAACAAACTCAACAAAAATACTCAATCAACAGACAACTTAAAAAAAACTAGGATGAAGAAAAACCTATGTAGTGCAACAAGCCTGAAATTACAAGGGTATTAAAATAAGCATTATTTGTTTTCTTGTCTTTCTAAACTATGCCAGAAAACTTCCAGTATTAAGACTCAGTACCATCACAGTACAGCTCTAATTTAAAGGGGGATACAATAGACTCTGGTGCCTGAAGAAGCGTGTATTTCTTATGTGATAGAGAAACAGCAAGAACAGTAAAATCAATAACAATAAAACAGCAAACAGTACTCTAGGAAATAGTTACTTGCTCTTTTTTGGAGTCTTGATTTGAAATAACGCCCTTTCCCCATTTTCATGCTATCTGCTGTTCAGATGAGGCTCATCAGTGGCTAATCCTCACCAGTTTGTGATGTAATGTTACTTGTATCAATTTTACTTGAGTATTTTTTGTGTCTTATTTTCCTCATGAAAGCAATTTTCCAGAACCCATTCATATTGAGGAAGTTCAGTCACAGGCCTGAATTGAAAAAATTTTAAGAAAATCAAAGGGAGCTTGCAACTGTGTTGTCACAGACGAGTGACAGATTCCTTTAGAATATTAATTAATATTCTTGTCACCAATAACAGAGGAAATGGGTTCTCTCAACATGTTGTACAGCAAGTGCAAGAAAACACTGCCAACAAGAAATAAAATCTGTATGCCATCAGGAGGCTACAGCTGTGGCATTCTGTTGTGTCACTGGACATAAACTAACTATTCCTAACAGGAAATACACATTTAAAAACCTCTGCTCTCCAATCCTCCTAAAATATACATTGCCACCTGCAGGTGACAACGCAGCACCGCTCAATGCTGTTAAACCAAGAATTCTCTTTCAGGCCAGAACTATTGCTAATCCCACACAAATGAACCCTGATCAAGTCAAAACAGAGATGCAGAGAAAAATCTGAATCCAGGCAACCACAAAGAGAAGAATGCACTCTGTCACACAAATCCTTCTATCAGCAGGCAGTTAAATACCACCATAAAACTGTAAGTAACTCTTACTGCTGGTGATCCCTGAAATGAAAGCATGGTATTACTTCTTGTGCATGCCTATGCTGCTAGTCCTTCACAGAAAGGTGCACCACCTGTTCTAAGGATGGCAAACCTGCAGCTTTAGTAAGTGTACACAAGAGAACCAAAATGGGCTCATCTGCCAGCATGAGAAGCATGGAGGGCACCACAGAAGGTGCAGGCTCGTAGCTAAGACATGGTATCTGTGATGAGTGAGCACAATGAGGTTACTCCAAAAGTAAGTTTTCTTCCAGGGTTCTTGCTTTTTTGCTTTTATTTGTACTGGGGCTTTTTTCCTCTCTCTCATCTTTTCAGGGCAGCTCTGCCAGCCACACAGTGAAATGTGTTGAACTTCCTTTTATACTAAGTAACTTTGCTGGTTCTGTGCAGGCAACCAAGTTGCAGCCTTCCTTACAGTTGCACTTTAATTTACTCCACTTTTCAGTGACAATATCAGGATTGCAAAGTAGTACAGAGTAAGTTTCCACTGACTGCTAGTCAGGGAATCTGCTGTACTGTGGTTCTGTGCCAGTAGTAATACTAGTCCTTCCGTGACTTGAATCTATTTCTAACTTAAATGACAGCAGAGCCAGGTGAACCTGACTTACCAACAGACTCCTCGTCTCAGCTCCATCTTGTTGCTCAGCAACTTCACTAACGCCCATGCTCAGGCTCCACTTAGCCATGTGTCCTCCCACCACCCTAGGAGCAGGCTGCCCACGTCTCACCATCGCCACAGGTCTCCTGCAGAACCTAAAGTCATGGCTCTACTCCATGTGCTGGAGTTGCACAATCTGTAGTGCTGATCAGCTGAGTTGCAATGCCTGAAGCATCTCATTTTCCAGGTAAGGAGCCTGCCTGCAGCCCTCACTGTTTATTCATTAATGCAAGCTTACTGCATTGTAAAGATTTCCATTCCCTATTACACGTTACAGTTTGCAGCCACTGCTGATGAGGTGCTGTGCCACAGTCAGCACATGCAGTAAATTGCCCTGTACTAAAGACAACCAGTGTATTTCCTCACTCATGAGGCATGAGCCCTACAAGACTATACAACAGGGGATCATGGTGGGCAGATGCACAAACCCAATGGCAAGGGAGCATGCTGGTAATTTGATGGAATAGTGAGGAAGGCAAGACTGGCAACTCTTGCCTCCCCATGCAGTAACCCTCTTCTTGGTACCCAACTGCTCACACTGTCTTCTGGCTGCCTCCCAATGTAACTCACATACTTCTCCCACAACTCCTTTAACAATCTCAGCTCCCTGTGCCGGTGTCCCCACCTGAAGGGGAACATTCTCTTTAAGGAAAATGTTTCGCAAGCTGCTCAATAGGCAGAAGAACAAGCCTGGCTTTCCATGGCACTCCATACTATGGTCTATGGAAGTAATTTCCCAATGGTAACAGCATCAATGCTCAGCTGAGTGACTGGAAGGCAGCAGAGTCCTGTAGTTATTGTACCTGCATTTCCACATACTCTGTAGCATGCCAGTCATGTACTAAGCTCAGAGCAACAAGGCAAGACCCAAGTTCTCCGAGTGCAGCACCACAGCAGCAAAAAAACTGATCTGGGACACACACCCCATAGAGGCCTCATTTAGGTACAACTTTTTTAAGTCTGTTTTCAGTATCCAGGCTCATATCTATTACTTAAAGGAACCCAAAGCCACCCCGTTGCAGACATATATCCCATTTCCAAATGCATACTCATCTGAACACCTGCATTAGAAAAACAAAGATTTTTTTTCACACCAGTTAATTTCAATGTAAATAAATAGTATATGACGCAAAAGGCTCAGTGACTGTCAAGTATAGGCACAAACATGCACTGCTCATGGCCACAAATTCAGATTTATCCCTTTCCACTAACGTAAAACATGCCTGAAGTAGCCAAAATGTACAATAAAGTGCCATGGATACATACCATAATATCTGCTTCCCTTGTGGCATATCGAAGATTAGGATCCAGCCAGTACATCACTGCTTTTACCTGCTCAAAGTTAAGGAAGAGCACGAACACCAGGAACAGAAAATAGAGCACACTGAGACCTGTAAAAAGACTCAGCTTTAAAATCAAGTTCACTCATAAAACTCCTTGGAACACAGAGAGTCCAAAAAGCTGCTTTCAAACTTGCTCTACATGTGCCTAGTTTGTACAGATGAGTTTCTACATAAAGCAGCTACATGCAAAAAAAAAGCTGAAGAGCCAAGTCAGATCTCTGAGCACTCAGCCCTTCATATCAACTCCTGGGAGAAGTGATACAATATATGCTCCACTGCATGAACCTAATCAAAACAAAAACAGTCTAATCAGTTTAGACACTTAGTACAAGTCTGTAATCAGGAAGCTCTTTAGTAAGAGATACATTAGGATCCATGATTGGATTAGCTCTGCCTCTTTGCTTTAAGTATTCTTGGTCTCAGCTAATGCATGTCTAATGCCTATATGCAGATTTCAACACAAAGATCAATTTAATCATGCCACCTGGCAATTCTGAGCTGTGCTGGCAATAAAGAGTAATTCTAAATATAAACTAATGCATGTTTGAGTTACTTTTGTGAGCTGGAAAATTTGCTGTTTGAAGCTTTTAAAGATAAATATCATTATTTATTTTCTTACCATTATAAATTATTAAACACTTGCATTTGGGAGTACAAGTTCTCTCCTCCCAAAGCCTTTTTTTTTTAGAAAGAAAAACTTGTTGCAAGTTGAGTCCTGGTTACAGACCCGTGGGTAGATGAAGCTGTTGTTGGGAGCATATCTTTACAATATTCACAGGTTCACCGATATCCAAGAGCACATCTGGAAGAGGCATATAAACACTATTTCCATAGTCTCAAACTTACTCGTATCCTGCAGCTTTGTCATGGAAGGTGGAAAGATTAATGTAAATAAACTTAGTATCTGCCATCCAAAATAAACTACAGCAATTCTAAAAAGGTATTTTAAACTATAACCAGAACTCATGCGTTAATAATCCCTGGGTTATGCCAGAAAGTGACTTTTGCTCAAGTACACACAAACAGTCCTCTGCAGCCCCTCCTAAAAAAACATCAGGTAAACAGGTGTCACACTACTACAAGAAGCACAGCCTGCAGGTGAGGGTGCATCCTGAATTGTGGAGGACACGCTACTCCTTGCCTTCATTTACTGAACAGAGAGAACTCAAGCATGGCTAAATGAACCATGCCAGAAGAAGCAGAATTACACAAGGAAAATGTTGCTCTTGATTTTGTGTGCAGCCTTTTCCCAACAGTACAAGGGGTCAAGCTCTGACAGCATCAACACTGAGAATGACCTTTTACTTTACATTTGCTAAAACCAGAAATGAGCACCAGGACCTGAGTTTCCCAAACTTCCAAGAAGCAGGATTCTTTAACAAGTACTGTCTAGTCAGCAATATCCTCTCAATGTCAACAGATGAGTAATCAGCTACTTTGAGAGGCTACTTATTTTTAGCTATATAAGGAGAGAGAAACATTCAGTCCCCTTAAAAATAAACAGATCAGATTTAAATCAAATGTGCCTAATTCCCTGCAAATATGCAGTCTAGGATATGCTCTGTGAACCGCGAATTATTTAAAAATGAAATTCCTTACGTTTTTGCTGCGTAATTCAGATATTTAAGGAGCAAGATTTCACTTTTTTAGTTCTGTAGTTAATAGAACTGTTTTCCGAGCTACAAATGCAATGGATATTGACAGGTACTTTTAATGAAATTATAAGTTAAGAATATGAATATATATGTTACAAATATTAATAAAGGTATGTTAAGCTATACAATGATAAAATTTATTAAGCATATAAACTAATATCATATTTTGCCAATAATGAAAAGAAGCACCCTACTCAATTGTATTTAGAAGCCAGATAGTATATGCAGTAGCTATAAAAATGCCAAACCTTTTTGGGGTTGGAAGAGATGGCAGTAGGAAAGGTGTCAGGGAAGGAGATTAGGAAGCACAAACACAACAGGATTAAAACAATATCAGAATGAATGATCTCTTTTTGATGATTCAATTTACACCATCCTGACACAGTAACTACAATGAAATTCCTAAACACAACTATGAATACATTTGAAGCAACTGCTCAAAAGCAGGAGAAGCTTCATAGAGGCTTGATGCACAATTATGATTCGTTATAATTATAATTCCATTTATCAGAAAGTTAAAATGGCAGATCCTGAAGAAGCAGTGAAAAAGTCAAAACCACATCTTAAACTTACCAAAAACCATTCTCCATATCGCAGGATGGGGACGTGTAAAGGGTCCTGTGGACAGTAAAACCAAAAGCTCATTACCAGTCAGTCAATAAGAACCACAAAATTTGGTCTTGGGTATATCTCATCTGAGGATTTGGTACAGATCAATTCTCCATCAAACTATGAAATATACCTGAAAATTGAGGCTCTGTGTTAAAAAAAAAAACCAGCAGATTTCAGAGTGCAAAAAGGAGACTGCCAATTAGTAGCGTGCAGACAAAATTTTCCACTAATTTTATGGAATTGTTTTCACAACAGAAGGATGCTGTTTGTTCAGCAGACACCACATCTCAAGTGTCACCTGGGGATCTCCTGACCTGGTTTCTAGACAACAGGTCACACATATCTTGCTCCCAGTTAAGTCAACAAATTCAAATTTCTGTGTGTTACCATAGACAAGTGGTGCTGAGCCTTCAGACCAACATGAAATGTTACCAAACAGGCCTCCTGAAGCTTCCAAGCTGAGCATCGCAGACACCTCACAGGAAGTAAAATACCTATGCTCTTTACCAGTGTCCATATAATTTACTTTAGAGCCAGTGATCAAACTGATTTATTAGATTAAAAACCTCTCAGTTAATGTGAAGGGCAGAGAAGGTAAGTCTGATGAAACTGGAAAACCTCTGAACATGAATCACACATTTAGGTAGTAAGAAGTAGCTGAAAAATATTTTCAGCACCCACTGAGGACTGCTCTGTCACCACTGTGTGCACAAAGCTCATTTTTCTCTGGCATTCAGTTTTTCAGGGAGCACTTTGTGAAAAGTGTGGATTAACGTATGGGAAAAACACAGCCCACCTCTGAAGTACAAAGCTGCCCTGACCACAGTCTTTCTTTTCCTGAACACTGCCAATTGTGAGGCAGTTTAGACTTGACAAAAGAATCATGATTCTCCTGAAAACAATAATGAAAAATAATAATAAAAATATAAAAACCCACAATATGCAAACCAAGCAGAAGCATTTCTTCCACAGAACTGACACACAAACTTGTTTACCTTTTTGCACTTTCTGCTCCTCACACAACTACCAAAACTTTTGTCCAACTTAACCTTCTACTGAGCAACTGTGGGTTTGCATTTTAACGTGACTTAGACCATTTCTATCACTACCTTCTAGTAAGGTGCTGTATGTAAGATGTTGTCTCTGAGAATTTTTAGAATGACACTTCTGTTAAAACACACTGAGGCAGAGTCCTTTAAAACATTATTTAAGGGTTTGTTGGCATCATTACTTAGCAATCTGAGCTGCAACTGCACATCTGCAAATAGGACACCGATTCTGAGAACCTGACCTCCCTGTTAAATACAGATAAGCTATAAATAACACATTTTATTGTTATCTCTGCTCAGTACGACTGCAAACCATTTTTAGACTGTTCCTTAAAATAAAGGAATTCAAAAGAGTAAAGAAAAAGTACACTGTTAATTGGTATTTAAATAAAAATCAAAACACAGTGGCAATAAAGAGAAATTCACATGTAAAAAAAAGTGAAGTATAAACTGTGTAAACCTTACTCACCATTAGGAAAAGCCAGAACACTGATGATTAGAAAGAAGAAAATCACAGAGAGGATACCCCTCCAAATATTATCCTCTGGTACAGAATCATCCCTAAAGAGACAGACAACAGTGTTCAAGTACATTATGAGGATGAAGCCAGAGGGCTCTGAAAGTATATTATTGAAATAAAGACTGCATGGAAATTAAACATAAAAAATATGCATGCTGATTATATAACAAGATAATACCTGCACTGAATTATTTTCACACTACACTTCTGGGTGTCCCTTTCTCTCAAGGAAGTTAAATATTTAATCAACACATGCAAGCCATAAGCATTGTTAGAAGTCAGTGTAGAAGCAGTGACTAAATTTAACATAAGGTAAGAAAATCTTCCTGCTTTAATGTTCACAGAAACATCACTAAAAGTACTTTTACACAGCAAACAGACCTAAACCGAAATCTCTGGAAGCCTGGATGCAATTCCTAGGTTTCTCTCTGCTGTTTTGGTGGTACTCCCTTCACTTCCCTTTGCTATTCCCAGTGCCCAAATGCCTGAGGTGAGTGCAGAGAGGGCAGAAGTAATGATTATGATCAGCCTTTGGAAATAATGAATATACAGCTTAGAATCTGTAACAGAGACATAGCACGACTCAAAAGAGCCAAGGAGTAATATTAATTTGTTTCTAGATCTAACAAGCCAAAGCTCTGAATAAAATAGCTGGTGTTATTAGTGCTGCTGTCATATTACGACCAGAAGAGAGACTCAAGAATTCAGTTTGGAATGCCAAGGCAAACTTGACTAAGCTCTTCTTTTTTAGGCAGGTAGAATACGGTGCACAGCAGCAAGATTAACCCTCACCCAAGTCTTCTAATCAGCAGACAGCTTCTGGGATACTTCAGTAATACAAACAGAAATAAATTTCAGACTACCATAGCATGAACAACTAATATTTCATAATTTATCATCCACTACAACTGAAGTTTTACTATCTGGGTAATTTTCATGTATTTAGGATTAGTTTACCTGTTTAAGTATATTCCTTTACTTATTCCCAACATGACAATAAAAATTTCCCAGCAAACTTTAGAGGGAGAAAGCTCTTCCTGTCAGATTATCCGTCAAATTTCCGGATGGATCAGTAAAGAACTCATGACAGCATAAATGCTCTCCACATTAGATATTTGCCGTAGTAGAAAATATTTCTCACTTAGCCAAATTATTTTTCTTTTGCTCAAAATTGAACCTTAAGAGCACCAGAGCAGGCTTTCATCACTGTGAGGCATTTAAGCACTGTATCAGTTTAACTGTACGGCTGGCAAAATACATTAAACATGAATGGTTTCTCTGCAGGCCTTTGGGACTCCCCACAGCATTTTTTTTTAAAACAGCTGAGTCCAGATTTACCAGTCATTTTCCAGCAGCCATGCTGCACAGGATGACACTTTATGCCAGCTATAAACCCCAAGTTCCAGGGCTTAACTATGGCTCCCTTGGCAATCCCAAGAGCCTCATGCCACCCAGTGCACTTCCTAGCCAAAGCCTCAGGCTCCGATGGCTCAGACAGCAAAACCATATTCTTCTTTTAACACAGGCAAATAACACACACCACGGTGCTGCCATGGCTGCCACCATGAGGATGAATATTATTTTAAAAGAGAACAAATAACGAGAGTCACATAACATCAATTTATCATGGCCAAGAAAGAAGACACTGTGATCGCATCACTTCATTGTTGCACAACTCAGATGAGTCACCTTTGTGCATCAAGATTCTGAATCCTACTCAGCTTCAGGAAAGCAGTCCAAGTCATATTGGCACTATCCCCAAAATCAGCAAAGATGTTGTATGCAGTGTTAAACTGTGTTTCATTCCAAGTGGGTAGCAAAGGCATTTCATTTTGGCTTGCAGATACATTTCAAAAGATACATCCTATCTCCTTGCCAGAAGCAGGTAAGAACAGGTGAGAGCTAGAAACTCACTTCTGTGCACTAGTTAGTATAGTGTGTGCCTGAAAAAACTATTTTGGGGAACGCCAAAAGGAAAGACACAATTACGACAAGCTGCAATCAGGAAAATGTGCTAAATCATCTCCTCATTTAGCCCCATAAATGTTGATGCTGATTTTGAAATATAAGCATTTATGCAGCAAAAACAAGGTTTCTAATGCTTGTGTGGGAGGACAGATGAGAATTCTCTCAATTTTAACCCACTTTACCATGGCGTATTTCAATTCTGTGACCTTTCAGAGAAGAAATAATAAAAAACAAAGCACATAATCTTTATTTCTCTTCTGCTCTTCTCAAGAGCACTACATATATGTCAACTAGTAATTTATTACATCACAAAGAAAAAAGAAGAGGATACTCAATTGAGTTAAAAATAGCTAGGACACTAAATTTGGAAAGGGGGCAGAGGTGGGGGAGAAATCTTCCATAAAATCAAGGAAACCTAAATGTATAATAATACAGCTTAATCAATTCCAATAATTAAGGGACACGAAAGACAACAGCCCTACATCCTCATAGGTCTTACTCCTGCTTCCACAAGCCCTTGCAACTTCATGGGAGAAGCTACTAGTCTGTCATCTTTGTCGGTCCTGTTGTGTCCCACAAAATATCCCCTCCAGCACCCACCTGCCCTCCTGTTGGTTGCCTCTGGGCTCAGAGAAGGCCACATCTCTCTCTCTAGGGTAGAGAAGGACAGGGAAAGCTACAGCCACTCCATGATTCTGCTCCAAGGTGCAGGGTAGAAGCAGGGGAGCCTATGTCTGTCTCATTCAGCAGGAAATAACCAAGAGAGCTGCAGCCCTTGTAAGAAGCACTAGAAGGATGTGCTTTAAAGAACAGAACACCCTCTATTCCGCACTTTCTAAAAGTGAAATTAAACACACATTTTTTTCCTAGATTATTATTATCATTATTGCTACCTGAAGATTACTGCTATCTGAAGTTCAGCTTCACCCTTATTTATCAGCTCAAAGATAGTATCAGCTGCTCCTCAGTGATCCTAAGGGAAACTCCACATTATGGCTTGGTACATACAAGGGAAAAGCATTTCTCTGACACAAAACAACTATAGAAGTGTTAAGAAAGACTTTAAGGGAAGCAGAATTTCCTTTGAAGAAGTTCCTGAAAAAAGAAATTTTACTTAACAACATCAGTATGAATGTATCATAGAAAATCCCCCGCTTAATAAACTGACCAGGAGAGCTACGGAACAACTGACAGCACAGGGGAAGCAAAGAATCACTTGGGACACCTTAGTGGGAAGGCTACAGTGTCTTTCATCCAGAAGGTGGAAAAATGAAAGTCACTGGAGACTCAAGGCAATAAGCTGATGGAAACAGAAAGACCAGACCTGGGAGCACACACTGTAAGCACGTGAGGAAATATCTCCCCTCTCCCACTTTCTCAAAGACTGCATACGGTTTGGATAGTGTCCCAAATAAGGCATAGAGGCAGCACTCTGGCATCAGCCATTCTGATTTAGGAAACTCCTACAATAGTTGGAATCAGCAAAAGGGGGAGAGGGGAGAAAATAAAATCCGAGTAGCTTCCACAACCTGAGAAGAGGAGAAACAGGGAAGACATAAAGAGAAATCAACTGGCATTTAAACACAGGAAGTGAGGCAGGGATAGACAGAGGGAAGTAAACGAAACTGAAGAAGCTGGAGTTAGAAAGCTAACAAAACAAATGGAATGAGAAGCTAGCAATACTCTTGGAAAAATGTAAACAAACATCCCAGAAGCAAAGCAGTATTATTTGGGACTAGAAGACACCACAGTCCTGAAATCTTGGCTCATCCTCTGCTTGAAAGAATGGGCAAAATTTCTTCCCCAAAGGTGAGTCATCAGTTCCATTAATCCTTCAGAATGATGTCTTGATGAGAATGTCTTAGTAACTCACAAGTTTGACCTAAACTGTCCCTTTGGAAGGAAAAGTGATCTGGTGAGGGGAGACAAGGTAAGAGGAGCACTTGTACCAAAGGTCTGTAATTAAACATGGTAGCAAAGCACAGAAACATGTCTCTGATTTTGGAGTTAAGAAGGGAACCAAGAAGAACAAGGGATCTGTTCAAAAATATCTTCCTTGAGGCTATGCACAAGATGAAACAAGAAAAGGCATTCCTCAGACCATGTGCAGTTACCCTATTTTACATTTCCTTATGCTCCTGTCTCAGCTCAAGCCAACCTTGACCATTATTTCCACAGCTAGTAAAAAACATACATTTGGATTCTTAGAATGAAATGTAAGATTGCACACTGTACTGTATATGTGGCCTAGGGATAAATCCCGATTTTCTTACATCTAATGGTGAGTTTAAGCAACAAGGCCATTGAAATCTGCACTTGTGTGCACACAATGCCACAAAGGTTTAAATGAGCCCCAAACATAATGCACTTCTGAGTCAAAGCCTCCCAGGAATCACTGCTTGCCTACAGACTGCACGATTTACTCTAAAGGAGGATTGTGCAATCCCCTTCACAACCCCATTCAGTAGGAAACAATAACAAGTATGTACAACTTAGAACAATATGCAGGATACTCATCAGACTGCACTGCTACACCCTTTGCTTTCAAACAAGGCTCTTGAAAAAAACTGTGTCCATTCCTAGCAGTATTGCCATGACCGCACGGGTGATGCCGACAAAGCTTTTCCTGTGGTGTGCAAAGGATGTGGCTAATCCTATCAGTGCCAGGGCCTGAGCCGACCTGTGACTAGCCACAGAAGTGTGGTGCGCAGAAAGGACGCCACACAACACTCCAGTAGATCACGCTCGTAGATCATCTGCTTGAGTGATGTCACTGCTGGGATGCCTGATAGCCCAGTAAAAGCCATTTTTGGCAACTACTTGAAACGCATTTTAGTAAAGACTTCAACAGAGAGCCTCGAAACGATCATCAAGTTCCCAGGAACCGCAGTAGGGAGGACAGCAGCTCTGGGGAGGAGGAGAGGATGCCCGCTCTCCAAACAAGGGCCTCCCGCGCACGGGGCTCCGGCACACTCGGTCCGGGAGCGCCCGGTGGGCACAGCCCGGCCCCGCCCCGGCAGGAACCGCGGTGCCCGTGCCCGCCCGGGGGCCGGGCACCGACCCTCCCCATCCCTGTCCCGGGAATCCCCTTCGCCCAGGGCCGCCGGCATCGGGGGCGGGGCAGGGGTAGGGGATCCCCGCGGCGCCACGCACCTGGTGAAGGCGAAGGCCATGAGGCTGAGGATGGTGAAGCTGAGAAGGGTGATGGTGTGCGGCCGGTAGAAGAACTCCAGAGTGATGTCCTCCACCTGCTGCTCGTTGATCATGCGGAAGTGCAGGCGGTAGTTCACGTCGTTCTTGCTCAGGGTCCGGCTCCCCACGCACGACGCCATCTCGCCCCCTCTTCTCCCCTCGTCTCAGCGCAGCTCAGGTTCTCCCAGGGCCGGGCGGCGCGGCCCGAGCCGGCCTGGCCGCCCGACCGCGCCGCGTCCCGCTGCGGGGGCCGAGCGGGGCCGAGCGGGGCCGAGCCGGCAGCGCCGCACCCGCCGCGCCGAGAGGAGCGCAGGGCAGGGCAGGGCAGGGGCGGAGCTCGGCCCGCCGCGCCCACGCGGCGAGGGAAGGACGAAGGCAGCGCCGGAGAGGGGGAGGTGGAGCCACATCGCTCCCTTTGAGCAAGCGGCGGGAAGCACTCTGCTGTCTGTGAGTTCCCCTGGCTCCCCTCCTTTCCTCCCGGATGGTCTCGCCCGGGTTGGGCTGGGGGCGGGGCACACACGTGGTCGGGCCGCGCCGAGTGGGGCAGGTGAGGTGGTGGCGGGTTTTGCGGGCGTCCTGTCTCGGGGGTGTCCCGATGGTCTCCCGGAGGTTTCCACGTTCTCCGGCACACTCAGGGGCTGCCGGCATGGGGAGGCCTGCGAGGGGCGGTGAGCGCGGCGCGCCCGGCCCAGCCTCTCCCGCCCTGTGGCGGGTGTGCGGTGACTGCCCCGCGCAGAGGGCCCCGTCCCGCGGGGAAGGGTTCAGGCCCTGGCCTAAACGGCCTCCCCCGGCCTCCCGAAGGGACAGCTGTCGTACAGGATGGCGGGCAGTGGCCTTCAGACCCGGCTCCTCTCCCCAGTTTGGCTTCCTCCGTTTGCCACGCGTTTAAAGCCTGAAAGCATCGCCTTGGTGCTTTGTAGAGAGCCATCGCTGTAGCGTCAAGGGGATTCGCGCTCCGGGCTCTGCTGCCAGGCAGGCAGCGCCTGTGCCGCTCCTCAGCCCTTTTTCTCCCGGCAGGATGCTGTGTTGAGGTGGGAGATGGCTCTGTGGGCCCGGCAGGCCTCCCGCTGGTGTTGCCTGCTGAACACGCCCCGCGCTGCCGGGTTTGCTCGAAGGCTGAGGAGCTGCGGGAGCCCCGCACGGACCTGCCGTGAGTTCGCCCCTCTGGCTCTGCTGCCCGCCGGGAAGGACGGTGTGCTGTGGAGACTGCAGGCGTGCAGGCATGTGTCTGTAGGAAGCTATTCCGCGCCCGACAATGCCAAGGATGGATCTTTCTCTTCTGTGGAAAGTAACTTGCCTTCACCAGTAAGAGAGGAACAAGCAAAGGTAGAAACATTACCTCATCTGAATGCAAAAATACTGGATGAAGGTAAGAGGCGTTAAGGGATATAATTTCTCCCGAATCTTCAAATCATGCTTTCAGTATGTTGTGGTTTAACCCCAGCTGGGTTATTTTTTGGGGGGCCGTTTATCTAAAACACTTATCTAGAGTTCCTGACTTTCACTTGGTTTTAGCCTCGTAGTTAATGCAGATATTCTTGTGGTCACGGTGGCATCTAAAGAATACCTTTGAGATGAAGACGAAATGTTTTGGGTAAAAATGTAGGTCTGGAGCTGCCATTTGAAGGGTTTTTCTTTTGATAAATCTACCTGCAGCAGTGATCATTTGCCTTTCCCTCACAGATGTGCTGATACAAACTAAGGGGATCGGTTTGGGTATTTTGGGGTGTTTCTTTTTGAGCAAGGCTGGGAGAGTCCACGCCTGAAGCGTGATAATAAATGGCCAGTCTCTTCGCGAACGAAGAACCGGGGAAGGTCTTTCCACCTTCCAGCCTGCGCATTGGATTTTTTTAGGTGAGACACAGTGTGCGCGGAACTGAGCCCACCCTTTAATCCTGAGGTTCATCTGCCGGGGCCAAGCATGCTTGGACGGTGGCAGCGAGGTCCTCAGGACGTAGATGGATTGCCTTACAGGGCTAACGAGCTCCATCTGCCCGGGGAGGGGCCCCGACCGGGAATCGAATGCAATACAGCCGTTTGAATGATCAGGAATGAACAACAGGAGGCAGCAGTGTGAAGCCTGCTTTAAGCACTACTCTGATGAGAAATGCTCGTCCAACTGTCTCCCGAGGAAAGGAGATGAAAGAAGATAAATACAATGTGCAGCTCTTCCTGAAACATTAAGATCATGCTACCTAATGTGGAATCTGTCTTGGTAGTTTTGGTGGGTCTTTGTTTTCTTGACATGGAAGAGTGTTACCCTAGTCTCTAGGATGACATTGTGCAAAAAGTACAGGGGAGAGAAAATCCCCTTCCTGAAGAGTATAATCAGGGCTGTTGATCAATAATCAATCTGATAATTGAGGAGGATGCTAGCAGCCAGCCTGGAAACAGTAAATCTAGCTGCTGTGAGCTCCTGTCAGTGGAAGAATAGATCCATTTAGAGAAGTATTTTTTAAAGGACACTGAGCTCTGTGACTTGGAACACTTAAGGGGAAACAAGCATAATGATGTTGTCTTTGAAACCTTAGTAGGAAATGGAGCTTGATTTCTTTTGCTTTCAATGGTGGTGGCACTCAGCAGCCATTCTGCAATGGATAAAACTCGATAGCTTGGTTGGAGTTGGCTGTGAAATGCAGTTGTTTTAACTTCCAGTATATTTCAGGCATCAGATTCAAAAGAGGCATAAAGTAGTGGGCTTGTTAGGTTATGAAAAATAATCTTTGCAGTAGCCTTTTTTCTGGATATGATCAGGCAAGAATGCACTTGTGAAGACATGGAAGAAGATCCTTTTTCAAGAAAGTGATGTGATCTGCAGTGATCAAGGCAGCAGACTGAAGGCAGGCTGGCTGGGTACTACACTGATTTGGACACATGAGCAAGAGCTGATGAGCAGTGACAAGGAGATGGAAAAGAGGCAAAAACTGGGAGTAGAGTATGTTTTCAAATAATAGGTTGAATGTTCATCTTATGCACAGTGTTCCTGCATTTGGAACTGGATTTTAGGAGATCTGTAAAGCATTTGATAGGAGCAGCTTTGTCTTTCACAAAATGCATTTGGGTCATCTAAATTTGTTTCTTAGATTGGGATGACATCCCACCTTCATCTGCCTTGGAAGAGATTTCTGAGGAAGAAGCTGCACAGATCATTGCAGAACCAATTCTTCCCCCTCGGTCTACCACTCTCCGAGATTATGTTGATCATTCAGAAACCCTTGCAAAGCTTGTCCACCTAGGTATGTGTGATTTTGTTTGTGTGGTTTGCCTGTGTCTGGAGCTTTGAAGATTCTTGTGTTTTACTGGTTCCCTTGTAAACTTGAAAGCAGGAATGGTGACCAGTGGCAAAAAGCAGCAGAATATTATCCAGGGTAAATGGAAAAAGAAAGGGACTGTGTCACTCACTAGTACTGCCATATTTCTTGAAAACAAAGCTGGCTAGTTTTAGTCCCTTAGTGCTTTGGGTTCCAAAAGGAGGCATCTCTCACAGCTTCTGGAGGTGGGAAAAACTGTGTAACTTAATTGGTCGATTTTTTGGGGGACTGGCTAAGGTTGCTTTAATTTGCTGCAAAATAAAATGCAGTTCTCCATCCTTGGAAGAAAGGAGAGTAGTTGCTGTTCAGAACCTTAGAAGTGGGGCACAGTAAACTAGAAGCAAGAGTGAAGGATGAAAAAGCATCAAAAAGCACTTAGGACTGCAGGTATACCTGAGTTCAAGGTTGCTGGCCTTGTTGCCCAGACATAGAAGGAACACTAGAAGAAGGTTGGAGCAATAAGTATTTGAGAGGGGGGAATCTGGCCCCATGCAATAGCATGTGTGAGTCAGTATACAAAGGCACTTCACTGCACAATTGTTCCCTTCCCTTGTATAATGGAGTTGGGAATTTCTTGCACACATACTTCTTTGCAACAAGAGCATATTGCACGTGCAGGATTCACTGCAAATGTCTTCCTTCAAAAAATAAACTCAGCAAAAGTGTCTAAAATGACTGCTTGTTTTATCTGGAATCTTTCCACAACATACAAGGTGTTACGACCTTGCTGTGTTGAACAGTTAAAGTATGCCAAATCAGTGCAAAAAAAGTCCTATAAATTCCAACATGCCTTTATGAAACATTTACAGAAAGTAGGGTCTGAGTTTATTTAAAACAATTTTTAATTTTGTTTGTTGTAGGAGTTGACCTATCCCAAGTGGAAAAACGTCAAAAGGCAGGTCAGCTCTTACTGACCTTGGACTTTGAAAAAGATATAAGAAAAATACTTCTGTTTCTTAAGGATGTGGGTGTAGAAGACAATCAGCTGGGACTATTTCTGACCAAAAATCCATACATCCTTGGGGAAGATCTGGAAGATTTAGAAACCAGGTAAGACTTTCAAATAGCAGCAGGATTTTAAGCCCCTTGGCTTGAAGATCTACTTTCCCATTTGGCTTAATCATGTCTGAATGATCATGTGTTGCCTCCTGCTTCCTTTCTGACTCAATCCCTGGCTCCGTGTTCTTGTGCCTTCCCATCTGTTGGCACTAACATGCGGTGATATCATAAGTTGAGTCAACACCTTGATCTGCCTGAAAACTGACCATTAAGAAATTTTAACTGCCCATCCCTATCTCTCTGCTACAGAGGAAGCAGCCTTCCCTCCTAGGCCACTTGATTTACTTGTGTCAGCTTGGATTCCAAAATATCAGTCCCTGAGGCTTCTGTAGAAAAATATTAACCTCTTCAGTCATGATTTGAAACAGCTCTTCTAGATGATACATCTGCCTTGTGAATTCTGCAGTAAAAGAAGCAGACCAGATCTCTTCTGTGATGACATCTAATAGCAGCAGAAGGTTTTGGTGACACTTTTTTCCTGTTGTCCAGCTCAGACTGAACACAAGACTACAGTGAACTGATTTGTGTGTGTGTTTTCATTCACACCTGTATGGCTCTACACTGTTTTTCAGACCTTAAAATGGACTTTTATTCTTAACATTACTTCAAATTCAGCAGTTTATTTCAGAAGAACTCGTGTATGTAAATGTAGATGCATTTTTTAATGAACTCAAAACTTGTAAGTATTTAAAAATTCCAGAAAAGAAAGTGTCTGCTTGGCTCTTGCATGTAGTAGCTGTCCAAGGCAGAAATCTGAAAGTACAGCTATTTGGAAACAGGCACATGAGTAGACTCTTGGATAACATAGACCTGACTTCTTTCTTCTCGGTTCTTCAAACCTCCTGTTCAGTAAGTGGCCTTTCAGAAACAATACCCAAAAAGAATGTGTGTAATTTTTCAGCAGTAGGTTTGAGTCTAGATATCAGAGTTGTTTATACTCTTCTGAAAAGAGTTTTATTTTTTTTTTTTGCAATGATAAATATCCTAACACTTCTGTGAAGTCAAATTTGCTTTTCAATGACAGTCCCGTGGCACTGAAAAGCAAATTTGTGAAGTAGGGACTGAACAGAGCAATCCAACTTCTCCTGAATTTTCTGCATTACAGTTATTCAGTAAGTTTGACACCGGTGAATGCTTTCCTGCAAGCTTTAAAGCAAGTGTGCTGTGAAGGCTGTGAAGTAAATGTGTCTCAGATAGCTGTCTTTTGAAAGCTGAGTATCACCTTTGCATAAACAGTTCAGTGCAGATGGACATGGTATTGGTTACATCACTCTGGAATGTTTTATTGCTATGGCTTCCACGTTGCCAGGAAACAAAACACAAATTTCAATGGATTTGGCATTTGACTTCAGATAAACACCGTAAAAGTCAAAACATTCCATAATTCATAACAATTTTGACAGTTGCAAATCAGTGTCTGTACTGCAGCTGCACCAGATGCTTTGTTTTACGTTATTGCTAATGATGACTTAAAACTGTTAACATGCTACATAGAACTGCTGACCCCTGTATTAGAACGAGGGCTAACCCTGGTGCCAACACTCACAGATGTATCTCAAACTTTGGCCAACTTGGATAATCGTGTTTCTTTAATATACCAGTTTCTGGAGTCAGGTTATTACAATCTTGTCATCCCTCTTTTAAGTTTCTTGCCTTTCCAAAATGTGAAGAAATGCTTCGGGTGTGAATATTCATGACTTGTTAACAGGAAACAAGTGGAGCTAGAGCAGCCAAAAGATTTAATTTTTCATCCGCTCATTTAGCCATGTTTCTGGGATGATTGGCAGCTGTGCCCTTGAAAAAAATAATGGAAGAAGTATAGTGTTGCCAAGCTGCAGCATTCAAAACATAAAAGGATAATTTTTGAAGGGACAGGTGGTTATTGTTGTGTTCTGGTTTTCTCCCCCTCCTAACCTTTCCTCGTGTTTGAGGCTCCTGCAGCCAATTCCATCGGCATTGTCTGGAACGTAGGCTGCTTCCTTCTCTGTTGGGGTGCCTACTCAAACAGGAATTGGTCCTCTAGGGCTTGTATCTTCTGTGTGGGCATTTTTTGGCCTGTGATGACTTCATTTTTGAGGGTTTGTGGAAAGAGGGAGAATTTAGTGACTGGAAGGTAATTTTTTTTTCTCTCCACAAGGCGTGGTTTGACACAGAGCCTGTTTTTTTGCTGAATACCTGCTTCTGCAGAATATTCAGCAATCCATTTAGTATCTAAATTACTGCCAGATAAAACAATTCTTTTATGCTTTCATCTGACAGAAAAGACTTCCTTATACTCTCATATACAACTCAAGGAAACCTCTCCAAGGTGTAGTTCAGTTTTTTACTTTGTGTGCTATATTGCCGTCCTTTGTTCCTTTTTCTGGTAATCATCTGTGGTAATCATCTACTGCAAGTAGTACTTGAAATAGGATTTCACATTCACTGAATTTAACAAAGTTTGGAAAAAGTATTGAATTGGAAAGAAAGGGAGATGTGTTAAACATAAAAACTTTAGTCAGCTCGTTTTCCTTTCTGATGATCAGATATTTGTTACTTAATCGTGGGACCATGGACTGAAAGTAGGGACCTATTGCAACAAGTGTAATTTCAGCTGATCTAGAGATGTCTTTTTGGACAATAGCTCTACACATAGCATTGTAGGATATTCCTACTTCAGTGCTATTGCCAAAACAAGGATGTATGAGTGTTCTTTCAGCAGTAGAAATGGAATTCATTAAAATAGCAAAAAGCTGTATATATCTTCTTGTCCATACCCTATGATGATCTATTAATGTGTTTGCAATCTAGGAGACAGGCTGGTAGTTAAATGTAGGTTAATGTAGTTATCTGCTTAAGTACAGCTGGAAGGAATTAAAATCTGTCTTCAGTATTGACATTCTGCTCTGAGGTTTATTTTACTTCTAATTAATTGGAAGGGTGGGTATTTTGCTTTTACAATAACTGCAGATTTCACCCTAATTATTTTTGGCAGGGTTGCATGTTAATGCTAGAACATCTGTCCATTTATAAGATATCACTGAGGAATTTAAGCAGTACTGAATAAATGGAGGCAATAAAATTTTCATCACTGGATTTTATTTTGTTTTTGTTCTCTTTCTAGAGTGGCTTACCTAAAATCAAAAAAATTTAGTAAGTCAGAAATTGCTCAGATGGTCTCAAGAGCTCCATATTTGCTGTTGTTTTCAGTGGAAAGACTGGATAACAGACTGGGTTTCTTCAAAAATGAACTTGGTCTCAGTGTAAAGAAGGTAAAGACTGAAGTCTTTAGTTATTTTCTTAGTAACAACTGTAAGGCCTTGCAGTATGAATATTTCAAGTGTTTGGAGGTTATCCACAAACATCAGTGATGTTACCATGAGAACACAGAGGGTTACAGGAGGATAACATGGTTTTAACTGTCTGTGGCAGTGATGTGGACACCTAACATTCAGAAGTCCTGAAGTACAGTTTTTGAAGATTACCTGCTACAGGTTATTTTCAAGCAAGCATGCCTATGTCCAATTTTATTATTTGGGGTGAGTTAGAGAACTGAATTCATTACTGAAACAGCAAGCACCTTTTATAACATAGGGAAAATTAAATGCTTCTCTTCATCTCCTCAAGATACTGCAACATACTTAACTCATCATAGAAAAATTGTCCAATTTGTGAATATCATATCAAACTAAATGCTAAATTATACACTCAGTTCACCACGAGTAACCTCTGGGTTTGCTTGTGACTGTCTACCATGCTTGGTGCTCAGCAGGTATTCAGCACCCTGCTTTGGGATCTTCAGGGGAGGTAGTAGCTGGATTTTTCTGGAATAAATGGGCAGTGTTAGGTATTTCCTACAGTAGGTGAGGATTTCAATGAATGTCAAATTGCAAGTGGAATCAGGGTTGTTTTACTGGCTTCTATCAGCTGAACACACATAGCTGTCACAGTGCCTGTTGCTGGCCTTTCTATGCTTGAGGTAAGAGACTTCCCCAGAAGAGGGTTTAGTCGCTGCCTTGTACTAAGAGTTGATTACAAGTGATTACATGGCTTAGGGGGCGTGGAGTAATTTCTTGTATTGCCATTATACTGTGGTCTAACCAGATCCTGAATTAGACAAAGTCCACTGATCAGAAAAATCCTTTTATGGCCTTACTGGGTAGTGTGTTGTTAACTTTTTAAAAAAGATAGGAAGAAACAGCTTGAGCACTGAGAGAGACTGGGCTCTTGAGCATGCTTTTGACTCATGCTTTTACTCCCTTTTCCCATCTACTTTACAACAGCTATGTTATTTTTTTTCCATTTGAGTAACTTTTTGCATCTTAATATACTGCTGCTTCATGCAAACTCATCTTTGGTGTAGAAATAAAATTGAATTGCGTCCCTCTTCCAGCTGTAAAAAAAAAATTTAAAAAAAGTGTATATGAGATCTTTCTTTCACAAATGAATTCACTAAACTCCTTCTTTTGTGTTTTCCCTAACTGTAGACAAAGGACCTGGTAATTCGTCTTCCACGGCTACTGACTGGCAAATTAGAGCCTGTAAAGCAAAATCTTCAGGTGAGTTTATGAATAAATATTAAAAGTGTATTGTGTATCCATATAGTGCAAGAGTTGTCAGAAGATAAAATTCCTACAGGAGATTCATGCATAGGGAGAACTTAATTAAATAATTTTAGTGGAGATATAAAATAACAGGATTTTGTTCAAAAATTTATTTTCCTCTATAGCTTGCAAGCTTATAGAATATATGGAGCAGTATCTTATTGTCTTCTACTCTGTTGCAGTGTCTTCCTGCCAAAAGTTGCTATCTGTTGACACAAAGTGTTACGTTTTTTATTAGTAGAAAAATACTCCTTCTTCCCCCCCCCCCCCGCTTAATTACTGTGGGTTTTTTCTATCTTGGGCTGTCCATGAGTATTTAGGAACAAGAAATGTGCAGTTGATTATTTTCCTCTTGGCAGGTAGCTAGTCTGCCAAAATGTGCATTTGACACCTATTGTCTGATAGCAGATGGTCGTTATTAACAACTGTTGGGTAAATAACTTCAAACCCACAGGGACTCCTTTCCCTTTTGAAAATGTAACTGTGTATTGGTTTAATTATTGTGCTGTAAAGCCATTGAGACCAAACAGCATGATGTATTGTAACAATTTGTGAAATTCCATTATCCTATAATGCATAACTATGAATTAAAATGTATAATTTTCAGACAGACTCACTGCTCTGAAACTATTAAACACTAGAAATCTTGCAATCTGAAACGTGTGTGTGGTAAGGGAGGAGACTGGAAAGTAGCAGATTGTTCTAATTAATAGTGCTTTCTTTTTAATGAACATGGTTTCCACAGGCTAGGGATTCAGTATATTATAGTGAATGTGTTTTTAAGATTCTCAGTTCTATGTGGCTTTTATCTACCAAATATATATATATATAAATACCATTTATTTTTAACGTGTGTGAGAGAGGGGAGAGAGAGAGAGGATTTTTAGGTTCTCACTATTGAAATCTGCTAGTAATTAGAAGCTCTGACCTTTCAAGAGGTTGAATGTTTCGTATTCAGAATCTGGGTTCAGACCTGTGTGTCCTAAACTGGTGGTGGGAGGTTAGTACTTGAAAAGTGAAACCATGTACCAACAGTTCAGAAGTGATCAGGTAATTTCCCCCATTTTGAATGGACTGTTATTTAGAAACAACTACTGGTTGTCAAAAGATGCCAGCCATGGACTAAAGGGTGTGAAGGATTATTATTTATTCCATCCTCTAAAGGTTTCATCCAGCACAATTAGAGATTAACTAATACAGTAAAACCTGAAAGCTTGCATTGCCACTGCCTATTGTGGGAATGATATAGAATAAGTTGAATATTGCTGAGACTTACGTAGTAAGAATATTAGCATATGTGGCCCAGAGAGTTACTGAATATTAAATATGCTTGCTGTCAAACTGAGGGCAGTTAAAGCAACTTACACTTGAGCTCACCGGTCATAGCATGAGGGAGCTGTTCCATTTCAAAGAGTAGAAGATAAAAGCTCAGGATTCTTGTCACAATTACCCCTACAGTGGGCCCAGCTTTACATCTGCAGTGATTTAATGTTGGGTCTTACTCCAGTTGTGTATCTTAATGCAGTAAGTTACCACTGCCAACTCAGATCCATGGAAGATACCACTAAATGGAAACACTTCTTTTCATGCCTGAATGCTGTCTTAGTTGATTGGTATTTTGTTTGATGCACAAATATTTATAAAGCAGATAAGGAAAAAACAGGATTTGAAAGACCTGGTTATAGTCACCTCTAGAAACAATTCCCTGTAAGGATCTGTAAGTCCTCAGGTAGCTTCAAAACTCAGATTCTAAGCCCTTCCCTTTGTATTTGCCAAACAGTTCTGGAAAAGAGCTGCAGTCTTGGCACATCAAACTGGACAAACAAAAAGCACATTTTTGCCCATTAAAGCAGTACCTGGGTTGGCTTTAAAAGTCTGGTTATGTTGACTGACAAGCATACCCGCTTCACCGCTGGAAACAAGCTGCTTGTAAATGTCACTGGAGGACAGAAGAAATAGCTGAGTTTCCAGACACTCCTGTATGCTGAATTCCTTTCTCAACAACTCAATGAACTGCTTGCCATTCTGCAATTTGGGAGGAGTGCTCATGATTTTATTGAAAAAATGTGTTTTGTTTTCCTTTTGGGAAATCATAATTGAAGTCAAAGCAGTCTCTGAAAAAGACATCTTACTTTAGACATTATTGAACTGTAAAATAAGTTGATAACACTATATATTCTACACATCTCTTTCAGGTTCAGCAGTCTTCAGTTGAAGACTACAGGACTGAAATTATACTCCCTATTATAAAAATGTAACTTGGATACATTAGCAAAAGAAGTAATGTTTGATTGTTGTGTTTTACAGAGCTCAGCAGCTCCACGACAAGAAAGTCAGTCTTTTGACAGCTTGGTATTGAAACTGGTAAAGGACTCTTAGGGGAGAATTTTTATGCTTGTGACTGCCACACATATGCAGACACTGGTTTTTGTTCATATCTCAGACAAGCTGAAAAACACATAGCATTCACAGAAGTTATCTTTACTTTGAGGATACTCTATAAACAAATTACACTTTAATCCAGAATGATAACTTGCATTGCCTGACTTGAGAGCAACTGGAGTGGTGGATATTATTGTGGGATGCATTCTTGTTGCTGTGTGACAAAGGGTAGAAGAATTTCACTTAAGTTTATTTCAGTGGCACATTAAAATAAGCCAAGTTTGCTGTAACTAACTTGTGAGGGTAAAATTGTGCTCTTTTTCAGGTTTGTCAGATTGAACTTGGTTTTCAACGTAATGAAATTCAACAGATAGTGTATAAAACCCCCAAGATTTTAACTGCAAGTAAAAAGAGGCTTAAACAGACATTTGACTACTTACACAACATAATGGGCATTCCCCACCACATGCTTACTCGCTTTCCTCAGGTGAGTTGTTCATCTGGGAATAAATTGTAAGTGCTGTTGTCACAGCCACTTCACTAATATGCTGCTGAAGGTGGAGCCTCACTGTGTGCAGTGAATTCATGTGTGAATTCTTCAACTTGCCTGTGGCTTTTACTCTTAACTGCAACAACTTATATTGGCAATTCAGACCATGGAGGATTCCAGTGGGGAAGTGTTGCTTTTTTTTTTTTTCCCCACTGGCACGTGTTACATGACTAACCCCAGTCTTGTGAATTTTTATGTTTTCAACAGAGGTAGTCATGCTCATCTCTTCTGATGAAGAGAGATTACTGCCTGCTTAGGGATTTGCTTGTCCTGAAATCTTACCTAAGAGACACAAGGAAAGACTGAATATGCAGAAGATCTGTTCATTAGATAACGTGTTTATATATAAAGATTTCTTTCAGATTTGTCTACTCAAAAAATTAATTTTAGATATTTTAGGGTCTGAAAAGAGAGTGTAAAGAGAAGAGAAATTCTGTCCATTAAGCAATCAGATTCTCATTGGACTTCCTATTGCTGTGGCAATTGCTAAAATATTACAGGATTGAAAATAGTCTGGTTTCCTGATTACTAATCTTCTTCTATCTCCTCATTACTGTTATTTCCTCTCAAATTTAAACTTGAAAGCTGTAGTCACTTCATTCAATGATGACATGCAGTTGCACTAGCTTTTTACAAGGTAAAAGTGGAAGCACAAATTACAGCTTCTTAACTGAAATAATTTTCTTACTAAAGCAAGTCTAGTAGAGAATCTAACTGGATAAAAAACCAAAATTATATGGGGAAATAAAACTATGTCCCAGGATTTTGATTGCTTCTCTTGCTATTTAATATATCTTTACTTAATGAGGATGCTTGCAATAACTCCAATCTGTGTCACTTTTGCCCTCCTTGATATATAAGTGACCACAGGACTTTCTCGCTTCCTTCTCAGTTGTCTTATTGTTAGCTTTGGGGTTCACGTCATTACTTTTCTTCCTTTTCTTTGGAAGGGTAAGCGGAGACCTCTATTCCTTGTTCTTGGCACAGTCACTTCCTCTCTTCCCTGTTCTTCCCTTTCATCCTCAAAAACTGCAAATTTCAGGATATAGTTAGTGCAAGTTAGTCTCTATATGGTCTGGCCTTTAATTTGTGCATTCACAAATGCGTATTTGTCTCCATCTGTATTTGCTTCTATCCTAAATGACAGTAATGCTGAAAATAAGAAGTGTACAGGATTTTTTTTCATCCAATGCTCTCTGATATTACAGCTGCTCTTGTAACCATTTCTTCTGTCTGCTAACTCCACAAATGGTGGTACATTTTTTTTTCTTCTGTCTTCTGACTCCCTCTTAAAATTCAAGGGAGGCAGAGGAGGAACAATAGTTTTGTTTCTCTCCTAGTTCAATTAGTTTGCATCCTCATGAAATCCTTTTTTCATCACTGTAGTCTCTCTTTTTTTAGTAAAATCTCTGCTTACTGTAGCACTTGTATTCTCACCATCTTCTCTCTAGCTGCTCTCTCTCCAGTTGTACTGCTCAGAAATGCAGAGTTAAATCTCTGCCTTTAAGACTTAACTGTGCATCTCATCTTCTCCACTTCCCTCTGTCTTTAGATGTTCAGCTGATTTCTTTCATGTTTCCCTTATCATTGTTCTCACCTTTCACTGTCTAGATTTGTATTGTGGCAGGAATTTTCAATGGTAGGTACTGCAGTGCACCAGAAGACAAGTGGTTGTTTTGAACTGCCACACTGCTGTGTTATGTTTTAGCTGTTATGTTTATGCTGTTATGTTTTAGCCATGTTATGACAGCAGTCCCAGCCGCTCACCTTTTCCCTTGCCACTGTGCCAATTGTTCATTCCCCATTTGTTTGTGGTCACCTGTTCATTTCTTCCTTGTAATAATGCTCATCTGAATCTGTCTGTAACAATAAATGCTTCTGATAGTATTGGGAAAATGCTCCCTATTTCTCAATATCTCTTCTCCACTTTCTTGGCTGTGATTACACAAAAATAATATAGTTGTTGTATATAAACAAAAAACCTAATGTGCTTGAAAGTTGTATCTCTGCCTGATTGTCTTTGTGTATGTTGGTCAGCATATTGTGTTGAAGCGTTTAGAGTTTAGATAATTTATATATAAATGTAACCTACCTGGTGTATGACATAAATTAGAAGAAAACATGACAATTTTTTGTTTTCTTCTTAGATCTTCAGTTGGTCTAAAAAATACTCTTGTTTTAGATGCCTTGTAGTCTGAAATTTAGATAGCCTAAAAATTTCTTCCCTTTGTTTCTTTCTTAGGTTTTCAACTCAAAGCTATTAAGAATCAGAGAGAGGCACATGTTTCTTGCATTCTTGGGAAGAGCCCAGTATGACCCAGCACAACCCAGCTACATCTCTTTGGACCAGCTGGTATCCCTGCCTGATGAGGTGTTTTGTACAGAGATTGCCAAAGCTTCTATACAGGACTTCGAAAATTTCTTAAAAACACTCTAGTAACTCATGTAAAATATAAAAGAATAAAGTTATGAAATAAACATACTTTATGGAACCACTCTCCCTTAAGGTCTTTAAACGTTTTTATTATTCGTTTAAGACGTCATTGCTTATGAAACATTTGTAGGATTTAAAGGCTCACAGTAATATTTATAGTAACTTAATTTTTTTTTAAGAAAGATTGAGTGAATACTCATTCCATGAGTTGCTATTAATGCAATCCTTGTCACTAATCACTAACTTTTATTCAAAGTGGATGATGCAGCACTCTAACAGAAAAGTAAATTAAAGTGGATTCTTCTTTTTTTTTTCTTTCAATAATGGAAGAGTTTTGAGAGATGGAAAAACTAGCTAGTGACCTATTCCCTGTCTTGCCCTCTATCTTCTTTTCTCTTCACCCTCTTTCCCAAAAGTTAGAATAGCAAGCTAATGCAGTAGTGAAGAAGTTTTGTGTTTACCTGCTTGACTTTATGTTATTATTTTACCTGTACAGTAAAAAGTGTGCACCATTATGTATGTGAAGCTCCTCCTACAAAAAGGCGTTTTCTCAACAGTTTACAAAGGTGTTCCCTTGTGAAGCTGGCTGCTGAAAATAATATCCTAAAAGCTGTGCAGTGAAACCTGGTTTGAAATGTCAAAAAAAAAAAAAAAAAAATCAGCAAACTGAATCAAGGCAAATTCCAGAAAGAAAATAAAACTGTGTCCCAGAAATCTAGAAGGAACGTAAGTTACTTTTCTCTTTCCCTTGTTGAGTTTTCCCTGCACACCAAAGAGAATTAGGAGGTTTTAATATGTTTTGAATGCCTCAAACTTTGAGCTTTTACTTCCCTTGTTATTTTTAAGTGTAAAAATGATCACTGCCAAAGCTAAACCAGTTTCTTTGAAACGTTAAATGCATATGCTTCTGCCAAAATAGCTTCCCAGAAACACTGTGAAGAAAGCAAGCAAGATTTTATGGGAGTGCTGAAAGGGAAAAGGGCAGAGGATAGAAGAACTTTTTGAGGATCGTGCAAAAAACTCTGTGGCTCTAAGATGAAAAAAGAATCTTTAGAAGAAACGTTTGGGCTAGAATTACCCAGTTTATTGTAGTCGGCTGTTTTTGACAAGGGCTGCCGGCCTTGGATTGAACATGTTCATTCGCTGGGTACAGCACAGCAACTTGGATACAACACTGGGTACAACACGATACAACTTCGCGCTGGGGTGCGGTCTGGATTGCGCTATTTGCTTTTCTCATTAGAAGTTGCCTGTTGCAGCCGTATTTCTGGCCTAATCCCACATATTCATTTTATTTCTTTTGAAACGCAGTGACCCATTCCTGAAGGAACTGCTGGGAACAGGCAGCGGTCTGTGCTTCAGAACGCGGGGCTGCTCCCCGGGCAGCTGCGATAGCTGAGCAGACAGAGGTTTCTGCTTCTCCTCGTGATCGATCGGTACTTTGCTTATAGTGCTCTACAAAGCTAAATTTTATTTTCGTTGTTTTTCGCTACTATTCACCCTTGCACACCCGCACTCCCCCACCCTCACCGGGCGCATGCGCCGCTCGCGGGGCGGCATTGGTGGGCCCGCGCCCGCCCCTGCGGGTTACCCAGGAGGCCGCGCGGCGCTGAGGTCAACATGGCGGCGAGGGCGCCTGGTGAGGGAGAGGGGGCGGCCGGGCCGGGGCCGCTCGGCGGGGCAGGGGTTGGGGCTGTTCCGCCCGCGACGCTGCGCTCAACCTGCACGGCGCCGGGGAGCGAGGCGGGCCGTGACGGGGACAGGGACAGTCGGGGAGCCGGTGTGCACTGTGTGCCCTTGACGGGGGTAGCGAGTGCTGCTGGCACAGCCTTGGCGGGCGGTTCTCCTTGCCGTCCCTCCTGTGGTAGTGGAGGGAGCCTGGCTCTGATACCGGGATTTTCTGGGTGCTGGGGAACATTGGAGGAGTCCTTGGGCAGCTCTGGATGGGCCCCGGGTGTCGCTCCTGTGCGGGTACCGACTGCGGTCACGGCTGGTCGAAGGTTATTCCCTCTCAGGCCCTAAAGCACTCCTGAAGAAGGAGTCAGTAAATAACCGCTAATGTCGCACTGGTATCACACGTACCACTGTTTTTTGAGGGTGACTTGGTAAGACAGACACCTTAAAAGTCACATAAGACAGCTTGCCCGGGCTACATTGTGCTGTTCCCCTTATTGTGTTACTTCAGTGGTGTTTGGTACAGTATTGTACTTAATTACGTTTTAATGCACCTTTGCCGTCCAGAATCGCATTTAATGAAAGGTGAACGTGCTATATGTGGTGTGTTTGTGTTTTTATGTTTTCTTTTTAAAACTTTTTAAAATCTTTTTGGTGGGGGGGACTTTTCAGTGTTGACTTTCTGGTTCGCTTTGGCAGTTTCTTGATAAAGGAAGCTCTGGAGTAGCACTCAAGTAACTGGAAAGGAGAGGTAAAAAAGGTTAACAACATACTCATATGCTGGCCTTGAAATCACATTAACCCACTGTTGTGGAACTGTGATACATTATTTGGAAAATATGACAGTTTTGCTTTCTGTAGAACACTACCATTCTGGCTGATGTAAGAGTTATGGAGCCTAGAAGTGCTGGTGCTGTTTTGGAACAATGAACCAATTCATTGTTAAAGTCTTAAAGCAGTCTAATACTGAAATTTTGGGAAACAGGTCGAACTGCAGTAAATAATGAGAGTCCTTCTAGTCGTCATTGTCAGTAAAGGGATGCTGAGAAGTAGAGAGGCCAAGTCGTATCTATTCAAATGCAAATTTGATGCAGTGTTATATTACTGCATGTGAAGGAGGCCAGCAAATATTTGTGTACTGTCATAGGAATGTGTGATGTTCAGTTTTGTCTTGCTCTGCAACTGATGATGGTCACGTTCAGTCGCAGGAGGTGGTCGCCTGATAGACAGCCTTCGCAAGTGGTACTACAATGCAGCTGGGTTCAACAAACTTGGTAAGTGTTGGATTGAATTCAGTTACGGTTCATAACTGGCATATGCAATTTGGCTTAAGTCTTTTGGATCAAAATTAGCTACTGCTTTTGTGGGGGAAAAAAGTTGGCAGTAGCTTCACTCATCGTGATTTCTATCTAGTAATGAATCGGTGACTTTTCTGTTATTTCTGTGTTTGCTCATGTTTTTAGTGAATAACTTATAACAGCTAAGGTCAAGCTGGAGCAGTTGAAAAAAATTTTCATAGAGCAGTCCTGAAAGTTTGATTATTTACCTTTCCTCACCAAGTCACTTTCACCAGCCAGTGTCTTCTAACCCAAGGACTGCCCTTGAAGCTGGAGAGGTTCCCACTGATAGCAAGCAGTCCGTCTGTCCACAGTGCTTATGCAAAGTATCCAAAGTGCAGAAGAGGTTTTAGTTAGTTCTGCCCTTTGTGTCACCATAACTTCAAATGGTGTCCCTCTGGCCTGAACAGTGCTGGAACAGGTGTCAAAACAGTGTTTCCTTAAGTAGAGGAGATTGCCTTGATGGTATTGTCTTCAGCTTGTTCAGAGTTTTTACAAAATGCGTTTCAGCTGTTTAGATGGCAAAACTGTTCTTGAATGAGAATCTGAATACTCAGGACCTGTAATTTACTGCTGAACACAATAAGTGCAAATCTTTTAAAGGAATTTTGCTAATACTGAATCTTAAAGCAGGGTTGGTTGAGTTTCAAGAACTCTTTGTTCCACAAATGGTGTGAGAGTGTCCTTGGCTTTGAGAATATTGGGTGCTTCTCCCTGATTTAACTTCTGATTTGGAACTCATGCACAAACACAGAGCTTCAGGTTTCCATGGCTTCATATAATCAGTGGAGATCTGGTCATTATGGATAGGGGAGTTTAGAGCATAATTCCTCAGTACTGAAGGTGTCACATCTGTAGCTGACCAACTCTAATGGATTCAGAGCTCTTAAACCCTTTGCCCAGACAGTCATATATAGATATATCTATCTATATATAGATATAAAAATAGATGAGCATAAGTCCAACCCTCAGATCCAGAAAAGTTACTGTTCGGTATCTATATACTCTTATGAAACACATTGAATTAAATACCTGTTTTCCCTATTTCTCTTTAAAGAAAAAGAGTAAAAAAAAAAAAGGTAGATAGAGTATGTGAAAGCCAGTGTTTGGAATTGCATGTTCTCTGTGAGCGATTATTGGTTCTCCTGGATTGGTTTGTTTTTTCTTCATAATTTTGCATTGGAAGTGTTTTGCCCTTGGTGCTTAGAAACACTTGTGTCAATCCTAAATCTTAGGAAAATTTATTCAGTGATACTTCTTGGTACAGGATTAATGCGAGATGATACATTGTATGAAGACGATGATGTAAAAGAAGCACTGAAGAGACTCCCAGAACATCTTTACAATGAAAGAATATTTCGCATAAAGCGAGCATTGGACTTGAGCTTGAAACATCAGATCCTTCCGAAAGATCAGTGGGTGAAGTATGAGGAGGTGCGTGTACAGAGTGTTTCCAGGTTGGGGGTCTTAAATGGCACTGCTGTGACTGGTCTTTGGGATTGTCATTCTCTAAAGAGACACACGCTTACATGTTCTTTACAATGAGTACATGAGTCAGTATCTCACAGAACACCTCTGGAAAACACAGGTTTTGATGGCTGTTTAGAAATTTCTGGGTTTTGATAGAAATTACCAAATTTTTCTCACGATGACAGAAGCTCAAGCTACAGCTCAGAATCATAGCACATTGTGTTCAGACAAAATATTTCTTCTAAGCTATTAAAAATACTCTGTAAATAGCTTGGAAATTCTTACAAAAGGTCTCTTGTGTTTCTGATTAATATCTTAATCTTCTAGAAAATCTCGAGCCAAAGGTTTTATTCATGAAGGTGCCAAGAAAGAATAAGTTAAAGGGAAATTTTGCACTAAAATAAGCATCATCTTGTAATTTGAAAAACAAAGTCCCCTTTCCTTTTCATAACTAAGTAAATTTTATTTTTAGAAGTGAGTTGATTCACATACTTTGCATTATTGTCCACCCCAGCTTTCTCTAGATTAGCAAGTGGAGAAGACTCTTGTCACTAAACTTTTGACTATAGGATAGTAAAAG